ATATAAAATCAAATTCTTTGAGTATTTTGTTTTTTGTCAATTCAAAAGAATATTCTTATATTCTTATATAAGAATTTGATGAAATGCCATACAAGGTAGTTTGTATGGAGTTGATTTTTACCTTCAGATTTCCTAGTGAATACTCAAAACACAAGTCAGGTGGGCATGCTAAAATTATTTTCCATGACGCTGGCATTACACATGTGTCATAGCCAACAAAGGGCTATTTATTGATGAACAGTTGACATTTAGCTAGTGTGATGTTGAGCCTGCAATGTGCCTATGAAAGTGGGAATTAGTTTCATGCATTCGATATCATGTCACATTATTACTTTGTTCTGCCCGAGGAGCCGGGGCAGCTGAGAGATCGATCCAGCAGAACTGAAATATTCCCTTAGTCCTCAGAGTATTTATAATCCCTCCCCCATAACATCCAGTATTGCCTGTTCTGAGTTTATTCCTTCCATGAATTTTCTCCTTTCCAAACGGGTGATTCTCACACGTCTCTGGTATAAATTGCTTTGGCGGGAGGAGGAGACAACATTTCACTCACCTTGCCAAGTCTGGGCCCCAGCATCTCCTACCCCCTACCCCACCTCACCTCAGCAGCGAGTGCCCTCTGAGCCAAATTGCCTTTCACTCCTTTGATTTCATGTTGTATATTTGGAGAAAAGGAGGAAGAAAGTGACTGGGTTTTGCAGGATGTACAAGTAACTGAGTGACTGACTGCTGGAGAGACCAGCATTGGGTCAGGGTGCTGGGTGTGGTCCCCCCGCGGTGGGTGCCTTCCTTGCTGGCCTGGGGGCACGTGAACACCAGCATCTCCGCCACATCATTGCTCATGCAAACCAGGGGACAGTCATTTCCAGAACTTGGAAGCCTTTAACTCTGGAAGAGTCGAACAGGTAGTCTGGCAGGCCCCTACCACTGGATTAAGCCCTTCCTTTCATTAACCAGCTTGTGATTATGGGTAGTTGATGTACTTTTTTGTGCACTTTCCTTTTTTCACCTATAAAATGAAGATAAGAAAACCTCAGAGAATTGTGGAGATTATTATTTAACAATTCTGCCATTCCACAAATATTTATTGAGACCTGCTATTTGCCATACACTGTTTTGAGTGCTGATGATGCAATATCCTCCTCTTTCAGGGAGAGTATGTACCCCGGGGGAGTGAGAGACATAAGTCAGTATGTAACGCAACAGGTGCAGTGAGTGCTATGAAGAAAATTCAAGCAGATCAGTGAAGATAGGGGGGCGAAGACATTGGGTGTTGCTATTTGCTATAAAGAGGCTGGTTAGGAAGGTCTCCCTGAGAAGACAGGAGTTAGCAGAGACCTACTTAAGGTGAGGAAGGAAGCCGTGCACCTGCATGGACGCTGCGCATGCAGTGTTTGAGGAGGCGCCTTCCCTAGGGGGGCAGGAGCGTGAGGTTGGGGGGGGTGTTATAGGGAGGAGGTGTGTGGGGCCGTGTGGGCAGATCAGGAAAGCCCTGCAGCCCATCATGAGGGCTTTGGGTTTTGAAAAGAAGAAAGGCAGGACTGCCTTGCATTTTAAAATAATTCCTCTGGTTGCTGAGCTGAAAGTAGACTCTAGGTGGGCAAGCACAAAAGTAGGCAGGATACTTAGGAGGCTGTCTCAGTAATCTAGGTGGGAGATGGCGGTGCCTTGCCCTAGAGTGACGGCAGCAGGGGTAGTGGAAAGAGGCCCTATTTTGAAGGTAACCATAGGATTTCCTGATGACTCAGATGTGCAGTGTGGGAGAAACACACGGGGCAACGGTGAGCTCAAAGTTTGGGCCAGGGCACCTCAGAGCTGAGGTGGCCATTGGCTGAACTAGGTAGGGATGGCTTCAGTACAAGGGAGCGTTGGAAGGAAGTGGAGAGTTCATTTTTTGGATGTGTGAAATTTAAAATGTCTGTCAGAGATCCAAATGGAAATGTCCAGGAGCCCGTTGAATCCAGGAGTCTGAGTTCCAGGGGGAGATTGTAATGGAAATAAGCATTGGGAGATGGTCATCCATCTCCATTGTGGAAGTGAAAGCTGGATGAGGTCATCCAGCCTCAGACTGTTGGTGGAGGAGGAAAGGAGACAGAGCCGTGGGCACCCTTGGCTATAGACATGCGGGTGGTGAGTGAGCTAGAAGATGGGAGTGAGCATCAAATGCTGCTAGTAGGCGAGTAAGAAAAGGATGGAGAAGTGACCATTCGGCAGAACATTCGGCAGCAAGGTGGGTAGAAAGTGCCCAGGACAGCCTTGTTCAACGAAACAATTAGTGTGTAATTAAATTTCAACTTCTCTCCACCATCTTGTTTTTATTTTTTGGTTTGGATGGCAGAAAACCTCACCCAAATAAATAAGTGCCTTAGCCAGCCTCAAAGGTCCTGAGAGTTCTACTTTGAGAAACACTACCCTAAGTCACTCCTGCTTTTAATTTACCTGAGACAAATTCAGGCCCTCATGAGACTGGGCCCACTCTCCTTAAAATGACATGGCCTCTGAACTGGAAAAATGTATGCGTCGTCTCTTTAAAATATAAAGCAGTAACTAATAAACATGCAGCGCTATGCTGTCTGTGAAGAAGAAAGAAGAGGGGACCAGCATTTTGAAGGACTTACGATGTTCTCGGCACATCGCCTTCACATATGTTAGTCCTCATTACATACATCTGTGGTATATATTAAATGTCAAAACCTGAGTACCCCCTACTATGGCGGTAGTTATTTGGGTTTCTTGGCCAGTTCCATATCTAAGTTGTAATGAATAAATGGCGCCCAGCAAGTCCCCATTTTATTATTATTTTTTTTACAAATGCCAACTAAATATATTCTTAACTTTCCTGATAAGTTTTTTATGGTGATACTGACCAAGTTTTATTCTTCTTAGTGATGGTCATATTCAGAAACTTCTTTAGCACTTCACAGTTTATGAAGCACTCTATTATACAAAAAACACTGGAGCCTAAAAATACCTGTGCTGTAATAATGTTGGTTACATTATCTTGATGGTTTTCAAAAGAAAGTACCCATTATTCCTTCTTCTCCCTTTATATCCTGTTATGTTGCATTGTATCCTTTCTGAGCTGCACATGATATGCTGAACTGTTCCTATGTTTATATAAATGTTGAGAAATTAGACCCTTTATAGTTGGAAGTTAAAAAATGGCTTCCCATACACCTGAACTGTTTATTGGATACAGGCTGAATTGTCATAATTCTGGAGAGAGGGCAGTGGGGTGATAGGTGCGGGTGTAGGAAGACAGGGAGGGATATTCCTGGAGAAGTAGAAGCTCAAGTCTGATTGTAACAGATTGCAGTGGTCACAGCAAAGTGTACAGATGTGGCGATAGGTTCTTGCCTGTCTATGAAACCAAAACTCAAACTAAAGCAATTTTAGAAAGTTCAGAGAATTTTTATTATAATTATAATTCTGTTCTTTTGGAGAGTGCTTTGGTCTTAAATGTGTTTGCGGCCTGATGGTGAAGAACTCTTGCAGATAGTTTGGTCAGAGTTTGAGCTGGTAAACATTTTAGCTTGCATGTAGAATTTCCGTTTTTTCTCCCCACATTATAGGAGGATGCAGGTCAGCACTTTGAGTAGTCCTCCTGTGTCTTGCTTTCCACAGTTACCACATGGTTTTTCTTGTCTATGATTTTCTCTGAAATATATTCAGCCTGGCATAATTACAGCCAACTCTTGAGCAACATGGTGGTTCCAGGCACCACATTTAACTTGACTCCCCCAAAAGTTAATGACAGTCATCCCTTGGTATCTGTGGGGGATCGGTTCTAGGACCGCCCTCCACCCAAAGGAGATGAAAATTCTCAGGTGACCAAGTGTCTTATGTAAAATGTTATTGAACAATGAGTGCCGACTCTCCCCATCTCCAGTTTGTTCATTCCACAGATATGAGGCCCAGGGATCCAGAGGGTCGACTGTATTTAGTGAAAAAAATCCATGTCAAATCCATGTTGTTCAAGGGTCAGTTGTACTTTGTTGTATTCAGCCTTGCATTATATTCAGTTCAGTGTTGAGGAATGGATATGTAAAAAATATATTATCTTGCCAAGCATAGTATAAGCGTTTTAATGGTTGGTTGGTGCCTGATTTACTTTTGTTGCCTCTCAGAGCTTAGCTCAGTGCCTTGTTACGTAGTAGGAACTCAATAAACATTTATGGAATAGACTTGAATAGTACTGGTAACTGTTGTGTTGGCTGTGTTATTCAGTGATAAGTATAAAAATAAAATGTATAATAGCAATTAAAGATATGATTTTGCTGAGTTTTTCTGTTCCCTTATTTGATATGTACTGGTTTTGGACACTATTTTTATATTTATCCACTTACTGGTGTATCTTAACAAAACTTATGGATGGTAAGTTGCCTTATGTTTTTAATTCAATTTTTTATAAGAGAATTGACTGGTATTCTTGGGCAAAGTGTGACTATTACAGACTCTTAATACTTTCAAATTACCTGAAAAACACTATATTTGGTGACTTTAGATATATTTATTTGTATCTCTTGATTTTAGCAGTGAGCTAAATATCCTGGAAATTCCATGATGAGAATAGAAACCCCATGACAAAATGCGCTTAAACATTTTCAAAAGCCAGGATTACTCTTTACTTAACAAAAACCAGCTTTTAGGTTTTAAATTACAATCAATTTTCTAAAATCTCTTTAGTGTGAGGTTTGGTTTACACTGACAGGCCAGAACCTGTCTGTCTCCACTTCTCTACATTTTGCGGTGACCACTGCAGTCATCACAGTCAGGCTTGATCTTCTGTCTCTCCAGTAACGTCCCCTGTGTTTCTGCACACAAACCTATCACCCGCCCCACCTGCCCGTCTCCAGCATTATAGCAATGAGGCCAGCAGCAATAAACAATTCAGGTGTATGGGAAGCCATTTTATTTCCAACTATACAGGGTCAAATTTCTGTGTGTACATTGACATTTGAATAGAAATTTTCTGAAGTCTTGTTTTTTGTACATGATAGTACAGGGAAACTCAAACATGAGTGGTTTCTCCAGAAAGATTCCGAAGGGGACACACCTTCACTTATCAACTGGCCTTCCAGGTACAGCCCAGGTTGAAACGCTTGGCTTCTGTTTCCTGAGTGCGCCCGCTCGCCTGCCGCCTGCCGGCCTCCACCCCGCCCCCGCGCGGGGCTGCTCTCCGACAGCAGTGCATTCCGAAAGCCTGTGTTCACAAAGCGCCTGGGGAGTTACCGCCTGATCCTTTGCTTTTCTCCTTCAGTTGTCCTAATCCCTCTAACAGCATTTCCTTTGCTCTTCTTTTTGAAAAATCTTTTGACGACACCTCTTGTTCTTTCTCCTCGCTCTGCCAACTCACACGCGGCCAGCCTACCTGGCACCTCTGGGTGTCTCTCTCTCCTGAGGCCAACTAACCAGCTGGTGTCCTGCCTTGTCAACACCCCCTTGCCCAGGCACTGCAGCCTCCTTCTTTTCATGTCTCCTCTTCTCTAAACCGATAGTTAATTTTCAACAGTTACTTTGAGGGCCCGTGGTTTTAAAAACAGACAAAAACCTCTATCATGTCATTTTTCAGGTTGGGGGCAGGGACAGGCGGAAGGAGTAAGAATGAATAAGTCTCTGGGAGGACAAAGCACCCATATATTGAGTTTCTAACAGTCACTTTGTTCTCAGCTAAGGACAACGTTCAGATTGTCTGATTAGAAGGACACATTCCACAGGAGAACTTGAACCACATTTTAGTCTCCTTTTGATTAACAAAGCTTATGAATATGAAAACGTCCAACACTGGCTAGTCTGAGAAAAATAACAACTCAGAAATTTTTTTGCCCCCTAAATTTTCATAGTAACTGTGTCTTTGTTTGGCGTTAATAAAGTAGACATAGATATCTTGCCTCTTATGTTGAAAACTATGTAGGCGTTTATATCACATTTGGTAAGGTGTGTTGGTCATTTTAAGAAAATAGTCTCTTCCAGAAAGGATGTATCAGAAATAATTATTCTTCTGACTAATCTTAAGTACATGAAGGTTTTATATTCCCCAAGAAATCACTTTTTCCACTCTAAATGCATTCTTCATTTTTTAAGAAATTAGCCCCAGTTAATAATCTTTCCTAAATAGTTTCAATGGTTTCTCCTTTCTGGCTAAGTGGTATTTCAAAAAGTAAAAATAAGAGCTAGCTAGGACTATTGAAGCCATGTGCTTTGCAAACATCAGGTTACATTTTGTCACTTCTGTTTCCATTTAAAAGATAAAGTGACTGAGGCCCACCTGGTGAGTTGCCTGAGACCACACAGCTAGAAGCAGCTGAGCCTGCCTTTGAGCGGAGATCTCGGAGAGCCCCTCAGCCAGAGCTCTTGGCTCCTTTGCTTCTGCAGCCATAGAAAAGTAGAAAAGTAGTTTTTATTTTTTATGTTTTTTTAAAGATTTTATTTATTTATTTTTAGAGGGAGGGGAAGGGAGGGAGAAAGAAAAGGAGAGAACCATCAATGTGTGGTTGCCTCTTGCACGCCCCCCACTGAGGATGCGCCTGCAACCCACTTACGTGCCCTGACTGGGAATCGAACCAGCGACCCTTCGGTTTACAGGCCAGCACTCAATCCACTGAGCCATACCTTTTAAAATGGATTTCAGTTTTGTTTTCAGATATTTAAATAGCCCCAGAAACAACCAGAGCAATCTCTTTTTACATTACTTTTGAACTAACGGCCTAATAGGAGTTGCTAGTCCAGAGGAGAGAAAATGTCCAGTTTATTAATTCTTTCAACAAATATCTTTTTTCTAACATTCTTCTGGGTGCTACAGTTATTAGTAGTAATGATGTCCAAAGGGATAACATGTCCTTTGAATGAATGAATGCAGCCTGGATCGCATGAGAAAGCTTGTGAATGTTTAGTTGTATGCCTGAAAGAGGTGATTATTTGCTTGATCTCAATAAAAAAGTAATCATGAATGCTCTAACATTTCCAAGAGAAGATGAAATTGCATTTGGTCCATAGGGGTAGGCATGCCGGAAACTACCCCACAGTCATTTGCTGGGCTGTGCATGCGGAAGGCTGGCCATCCACAGCTCCAGCCTCAGTGTGCCTAGTGCATACTGCTGGTGTTTAATAAGGGGTTTTTCTGTGGCTTCTGTGTATTCATTTAGTCAAAAGGCACCCGTTCTCTCCCAGGACAGCATCTGACCCCTCAGCTTTACAGAGGTAGGGTTAGTTTTTCACCACCCCAGCATATAAACACACATTTGGAAACTCAACTCAAAATCATTCGTCTTGCAAACAGCGGGTTTCTGACATTAACCGCCCCAGATGCTTTCTCACCCGTTGTTCTCTCTTCGGGTTTACTTTCATTCACTGGTCACCCATGATGCACGCATGCTTCCTTCCCATTGAGCGGTTACTACACTTTGCAACTTAAACCCTTTTTCTTTCTTAAAGAATTAAAGTTAGAGAAAAAATGGTGAAAGAGGAGAGTGCTCGCAGCAGCCCAGAACTTGCCTCAGAGTCCTTAACTCAGAGGAGACATCAGCCAGTGCCGGTGCATTACCTGTCCTTTCAGTCAGAAAACTCGGCCTTTGATAGGGTCACAGCCAAAGCAGCCGGCTCTGCCCGACAGCCGATCCGGGGCTATGTCCAACCAGCAGATCCTGTGCACACAGCAATGCTGGTGACTTCAGAAACCCCAGAAAGTGTGTCCGAGTGCAGCTGGGTGGAATCAGCCACCCAGAACGCCATGAAGCCTCCCACCCTGAAGGTTCTCGAAAGTGAGAGAAGAGATACCCCCATCCTCCATATCTGTGAATCACAAGCAGAAGAAGAGGTGCCCCTGACAGAAGCTCTCGAGAAAAGCAGGAAAGCACTCCTGGCTTTGGAGGACAGTGGGCTTGAGGGAAGTCATGACGACCCCTCTGGAAAGGAGGAGTTTGGCATGTCCACTCTTGGCACTATCACCTTGGAACACCAGGAGGAGCCAGAAAGTCCATCACACCCACCTCAAGCCCAGCACCAGTTCACTGAGAGGACAGGCAGGAGCGAAATGGTTGTGCATGTTCAGAGAGAGCCTGTGTCCCAAGATGCCAGATTGACAGATCACAAAAAAGAAGCATCAAGGAGGAAGCTCAAGGTCCTCACCCGCTCCCTGTCTGACTACACGGGCCCCCCTCAGCTCCAGGCCCTGAGGGGTCAGGAACAGTCTGAGCGGCAGAGTTCCAGAGCTGAGGGGCCCCACGCGGAGGCGAGCGTGCTGGACACCAAGGTCTCTGTCGCCCAGCTCCGAAATGCATTTCTGCAGTCTGCCAGTGCCAGCAAGAAACCTGAACTGTAGGTGATGTTTCGAACGTCCTCCCGATGTGTCACTTGCACGTCCTTGGCAGAATTATTCACTTCTCGACTTGTGTTGTGTCCCGCATTGAGTCCTATTTAAGCTTAGCTCACAAGTGTGCAGGGCAGACCATATAGGACATGGCTCCAAAACTACCACTCTGCTTCGCCTACTAATGGGGAGCTGGAGGATGGGTCTCGGGAATGCTCCACCTCCTTTACATGCATGGGACAGGCATGCAGCGGGATTATGCGGTGTCTGTGCCTTGACTCACTGAGATGCATAAACCTTTGCTTTATTCTCTCTCTGTCTCCCCCATCCTCTGCTGTATCCTCTCTCCCGATGATTCTAAAAGCCAATCGCGGCTTGAGAGGTCAACCAAAGGAGTTGGCTTGCCTACCAGTGTGGAACGGGAGAGAGGGTCCCGGAAACCACGACGCTATTTTTCTCCTGGTGAAAATAGAAAAGCTTCTGAGAGATTTAGAACTCAACCTATAACCTCAGCAGAACGAAAGGAGTCGGATAGGTAGGCATGTGTATGTCTAGGACCTTAAGAGAACTCGTAGGATTTTGACCACAGTGATGGTCCTGATGTTGTTTAAAGGGGGTGTGGTGATTCCATAACTCTTCATCTGATCAATAAGGGACATTTATTTGGCTTATGTAAGTGTATTTTTTAAAAATGTTGTCCATGACAACAGTATCCCAAAATGCTGTTTTAGATTGTACTCAGACGGTAAGAAGTAAGAAACATTCTTCTTTATTTAGTGTTCTTAATTTTTTATGCCCTTGTTAAATTAGAATCCAAATTGACTACCCACCACATCTTACAGTGAAAATAACTTAGGGATGTTTATTTTATAAATATCATCCTACTTGCTGTATTTGAGTTTTCTATCACTTGATTACCACCGAGAAATGATATGGTTGGTTTAAAAAAATTACCATCAGTCATGTTCAGTAAGTCCCACTTGATTCTGGTTTGTCCCCAGGAGGTGCGCACTGGGCTGGGCTGTGTGCACACGCAGGCTGTGGTGTCTGTTAGCTGCACATGTATATTCACAACTAGAATCACTATCAGAATCATATTCTTTAAGAAAGTTTAATTACATTTTTATTTTTACCTTTAAAGTGATGTTATATATGGATCCTCTCCTGCCATCAGCTAATCTTTTGTTGTTGTTATTTTTTAATGCCTTTCCTAGGTCTACTTCAAATGCAGAAATGCCAACGGCTGAGGGCAAGTATCTGTTTTCCTTCCACTTCATCATCTTGTCCAGATTAGGTTTAAATAAGATTTTTACTTTTTGAGAATCAGATTATTGTGCATATGTATTTCTTACTTTTCTGAAGTTTTTCTTTGTGTGAGTATAATAAAACCTGGTTAGGATTTTCAGGTGACCTTTCCCTTATTTTTTGAGAGTTGGAGAATTGCTGAGTGAGCAATAATAAAACAACTGACTTGATCCAAAGAAGCAGGTATTTCTTGTTACTGGTGCTTTTGAACAATAAAGAGCAGATATTTCTTCCCAAAGAATCTATTATAAAATCACAATCTGTCACATAGCACAGTAGAAAATTACTGTCCAGACAGCATTTGTTTGGTTCATTGCAATGCAAATGAGCACCTTTTCACTGAGCAGAAGAATAGGCTCCCTGCAAGAGGGAAATACTGCCCACGGTAATTTTTAGTACATCTGTTCTTATATTCACAGGATTTCCAGGTCAGCCTTGGGACACTTTTTAGAGTCTTTACCTACATTTTCTAATGATGTCCAGTTTTTATTTTGTGGCTTTTTACAGATGAAGAAAAGGTAGATGAACGAGCCAAGCTGAGTGTTGCTGCCAAGAGGCTGCTTTTCAGGGTAAGAGATGTGCTGATGTGTTTGAGTAGGAACTGTCACCCTGCTGAGGGAGGTGTCCGTGGCCCCTGCCCATGCTCTGTGCTGGGCCCACTGAGGCCCACCCGGCCCTGGCCCACCTGCGGTCCTCTTCAGATCCTTGGCTGCTGTGGCCACCAGCTGACACAGAATGAGTGTCTGCTTCTGATGGATGATTTGAAGCTCCCTGGGTGTTCCCCCCGGAGTCCAGGAGGGGAACAGAGTAGAGACATTTTGCTGTCCCAATTTCCTTTCTTCACATTCATGAGGATTCCACAATGTTTCTGATCTCAGGAAATGGAAAAGTCGTTTGATGAGAAAAATGTTCCAAAGCGACGTTCGAGAAACGCGGCTGTGGAGCAAAGACTACGGCGTCTGCAGGACAGATCCCACACCCAGCCCGTGACCCCCGAGGAGGTGGTCATTGCAGCCACGTGAGTCTCCCTTCTGCGCTCCGGGCTGTGGCTGTGATGTCTGCTTTTTACAAAGAAATGTGAAGATTTTTAAGTAAAACAACATGATTGGGAGATGGTTTAGTTAGAAGCCATAGAAGAGTTGGTGTTCACAGATTTTTCTTGCTGGAGTCTCTCTGAACTTCATCATAGGAAGTGTTATCTATTATTTCTATTAGAAAAACATGAAGAGGAATTTTATTTAACTTTCTGTCTCTGCATTTTCTTATCTTTTTTACAATGGAAAATTTATAACGTGAAAGTAGATGGATTAATGTGATGAACCCCATGCACTTATCACCCAGTTTCAACAACCATGAGCTCCTGTACCTGGATCTCCACCTCCTTCCCCTTTCCTCTTACATTATTTTCAGGCAAACCCCAGATATTACTTTTTCTGCCATAAATGTTTTAGTATATATCTAAAAAAAGGAAGGGTTTTATTTTGTATATAAATAATCAAAAAATTTTAAAACCTAATTGGAAGTTTGATAACTTTTCAAACTCTAGGAAGTAATTTTTGAGCAGTATGTTCTAATATGTTCAGAATGGATTTCCCAAAATCATTCATTCAGAGATAGTTACTTCTATAAAGTGGAAACTTTTATTAGGTTTTTTTTTTAAGATGTTTATTTATTTATTTTTTAGAGAGAGGGGAAGGGAGGGTGAAAGAGAAGGAGAGAAACATCAGTGTGAGAGAGAAACATTGATTGGTTGCCTCTCTTACGCACCCTGACCAGGAACCAAACCCACAACCCAGGCATATGCCCTGACCAGGATTTGAACCTGTGACCCTTTGCTTTGCAAGATGATGCCCAACCAACTGAGCCATATCAGTCTGGGCATTTTTTTAAAAAATTGTTTTGGGGTTTCCCCTGGACACACACACACACACACACACACACACACACACACACCCACTCACTTTCTGAGAAAATGATGTGAATCTCACTTGATATATCCCCAGAGGCCCCAATGTCACAGCCCACACCTGTGAATCTGCTAGTTGATCAGCTGCCTTCACTTCCTTCCTAAGCTATTTTTCTACATTTTCATATATTTTTGGATAAATACATCCTCTACCCATTAGGAACTCTGAGCAAATCAGTTTATTTTAATTAAAATTTTAATTCTTTAAATATTGGAGTGGCTGTTGTAAAACACAAAGCAGCTACCCATGGGAACAAAAAGGGAAATACAAGTAAAAATTATCACCTTGTAAGGCTCTCTGAGTCTACTTTGATGAGCCTAGAGATTATGTGAAGACATTGATTCTTTAAAAAAAAAAAGATTGAGAAAAACATTCTAAAAATGGGCATAATCTATTGCTATCCTTGTGGTTGACATTAGCTTTCTTTAAATTACTTCTTTAAACCAGGATATTTCTTCTGAAGAGAGTCTATTCTTATTCTATTTACCTTGACTAGCCTCCGTCTGTTATTTCCTAAGTTTGTTCTTGCTTTTCAAGGTCTCTTGTGATTTTTCCAAAGGAATGAGCAAATAATTTTGTTAAAAGATTTGATTTCATGTTTCTGAATGGAAAACTATGCTTTCCTTAATGCTTCTTTTCTTCTCTCTCCTCATGAATGTTCCTTCTTTGGCAATTGCTTTAAAGTGAACCTCTCCCTGCTTCGTGCTCTGTGGCCACCCACCCTGTAATGACAAGACTTCCTAGTCCCACTGTAGCTAAGAGCACTGTGCAGCCTGCCAGGTACTGGACAGCGATAGCGGCATGTGGCCCGAGGGCAAAGGTGCTAGACTGCAGACGGATCTGGAAATCTTGAATGTCTTTCATTTGTTTGACAATAAGTCTGTGGAATGTCTTGTTCTGGGAATGTGTGCCATTTTCTCCTGTCATAGTGCAAGACACTGATGACTTCCTGTAGGCCTGCATGAGAAAACACTCATCCATCTGCTTCCGTGGCGTGTTGGTACTAGAATCACACTAACTCACTTATCCATGTGTTTTGTTTCTGTTCTTCATAAACATAGCCATCCTTAAAAAATGTCATTCTTCAATCTAAAACACTAGGACCTGATAAGGATTAATAGAAAAATGGAAGAAAGTGTGAATGTTGAATTTCTGATAATACCCAGATGTTTTTAAACATGCATAGACACAGATAGGTGTTAAAAACAACCCTACCTGTTTGTAATGCATAGACGATGCCATTATATTTGGGGGTTAGGATGTGAAGAATTTATAGTGTCTGAAAAGCATTTCATTATCATGTTTTTAAATTATGTCCTTAAGGCAAAAACAGCCTCTCTATTTTACTATTATGCACAAAAACGAAAAGGCTAAAAATAAGACTAAAAGAAGTAAAATGACAGCACAGAAATAAAGTTGTCGCAACCCAGATGCCAGGACCTCCCTGGGGAGGGAGGTTGAAGTTACCCTCCTGGGTCACCTGCTGACTTCAGGAAAGATACCAAGACAGGGTGGTGCCCTGCAGTCATCTCGCTTCTACCCTGGAACGCTGATGCCACCCTTATGTCCGGCACAGCATGTGAAGTGGTGATGAATTAGAGTCAAGACAGAATAAACTGCTTACTGGATTTGAGAATCAGACGTGCCAGTGGCCGAAGGGGCCTTGTCTTCAACCTTTGAGGATTCTGGGTGGCTGTGTTGCTGGAAGCCTTCTCTGCCGGGGAGCCAGCGGGGCTTACCAGTGTCTAAAGTTTCCTTCTCTTTTCGAGTTACTGATTTAAACACCTTTAAAAAAATCTGATAGAAATCGATGAGAGAACATGCTAGAGTGAAGGAGTGAAACAATCTTTAAAATTAAACCATTTGTGTTTAGCAAGTAAAAATCAAAACCCTAGGCTGAGGATAATGTTGTTGACAGCATGTTTACCTAACTATTTGCTAATTATTTAAAATGAAAAGGCCGCCTTCTGAATCACATGTTTAGGTAATGTCTAAGTATGCCATAGGTGATGCCTAAGATTCCCTTTAGCCTTGTATTATTATTGATACTAATAATACAACTTTTCTCTCTAAAGTAAGTTACGTCCAAGTTGACTTCAATTTCTCAAGTAGGGAATTCAATTTACAGAGATAATTCCGAGCTAAAAATTCAGTCTCTGTGAGATTGGCAAGGCTAGTGTCCCCAGGCTACTCTGCTTTTCACTGTCTTCTTTAATAGCTAAGCACCTGTCTGTACCTGTCTTCAATGTGCAGAGGCAAAAATAAAGCCCTTGTCCAAACTGACACTTGGAAGAAAGCTAACATGCAAAATTAGTGGTGGGTTTGTGCTTGTTTTTATCTGTGCTACTGACTTTTCCTCCCTTTCAGATTACAGGCATCTGCTCACCAAAAGGCTTTAGCCAGAGACCAGGCAAATGAGGGCAAAGATTCTGCTGAACAAGGTGAACCTGATTCCTCCACTCTAAGCTTGGCAGAGAAGTTGGCCTTGTTTAACAAATTGTCCCAGCCAGTCTCAAAAGCTATTTCTACCCGAAACAGAATAGACACGAGACAGAGGAGAATGAATGCTCGCTATCAAACTCAGCCAGTCACACTTGGAGAGGTGGAACAGGTGGGTACGCTGTCTTCAAATTCCAGTTTTCTGGTACATTCTTAAACTTGAGGGGCTCTGGGTTATCTCAGGTTAATGATATACTGAGGGTGATCTACCTGTACACTGTGTTACCTGTAGATGACTTGGTAATGACTCTATTCCTAAGAATGCCAAGTTTGCTTTTCTTTCCCTGTTTTTATAATTTGCTTGCTGAAATCATCTGGGGTGCATCTGCTTTAGAGAGAAAAATAGGACACACAATTTGCTTTTTCACCCAGATGATTTCATTAATGAGATGCATTGTATAACTCTGTCTAGGATGAGTTTCCCACAAGACAGGCAGTAAAACTGCACCAAAGGTAGTATTTCAGTGTAGGTCAATCCATACACTGGGGCTTATGTAGACAGTATTTTTAAATCCGTTCTTTCGTTTTTCACTGTGTCCTCGCAGGTGCAAAGTGGAAAGCTCATTCCTTTCTCACCCACGGTTAACACATCTGTGTCCACCAAGGCATCGACGGTCACTCCAATGTACGCAGGGGATCTTCGGACAAAGCCACCCATGGATGACAACACAAGTGCCACTGACTATAAGTTTCCTTCTTCGTTAGAAAACTCAGATGTTCCAGTTAGAAGCATTCTGAAGTCCCAAGCCTGGCAGCCCTCAGGAGAGGGCAGTGGGAACAAAGGCATGTTGAGAGAGTTTGGAGAGACAGAGAGTAAGAGAGTCTTGACAGGTAGAGACAGTGGTGTTAAAAAGCACGAGTCCTTTGAGGAGGCAGAGCCATCCTACCCCATTCTCAACCGAGTCCGGGAAGGAGACAGCCAGAAAGAACCTAAATATGCTGTCCTGAGAAAGGGGAGCCTGGAGCCGGCTAATGCTCCTGTCGCTTACCTTGGTGATGAGGAATTTCCCGCTGCTAAAAGCATTGCACAGGGGAACCCAGACTTGAAGGACAGGCAGCCCTTTGAAGAGAAGGTGGACGTGGAGAATGTCACAAAGAGGAAGTTTTCGCTGAGAGGTAAGGTGCTGCTGCTCCTGAAGTTTTAGAAACCAAGTGGGTTTTCAGTTTCTGCTTGATTGTTTGCGATTGTTTCTAATTAAGTTACTGGATTTAATGAAATTGTGAAGACAGTTTATGTCTAGCACTGATTAAAGTTTTAGTGTGAATCCTATTCTCCCCCAGACTTCTCCTCCTCTTGAATTTGATATATTCAGTGGATTATTAACTTCTCAACAATAAAAATACCTGAAGCTCTTTCACACATTTTGATAAGGGTGTTTGATGACTTTGGTCACATTAAGGCACATAACAGCCTTGTGAACTGCTGGCTGTGTTGGCCCCTTCCATGACCCAAATGTCCAGGCTGGGTATGTGCAGGGAAGCAGGATTTGAACCCAGATCTCTGGCCTTCCAGGCCCTCCTTCTACATTCTTCTTATGCACATTAGCAAGCTATACGCATGGGTCTTTCTTTCTCATTCTACATTTTCATAGAATGACAGTATGTAAGTTATAAAAGTAGTTTTGGTTTGTGCGTGTGACACGTTTAAAAGTAATGTTTAGAGGAGTAGAAACATTGTGTAGTATACAGTTAAAGCTAACTTCCTGTGTCTTGCACACAGGAAAAGACCAATTGCCACCAAATGATTTGCTGTGTGGAGCAGCCCGCTGGGAAATTTGGTTTTCTCACAGAATATAACGTGCCACGATTTGCATAAATCCCAGTGGGTTGGGTAACCGACCATGTGCCCACAGATTGAACTCAAGGGCAGGACTGTTGGGGGGTGAATAGCTGGGAGAACGCTTGCCCGGAGCACTTAGTGCTGACGTTGCTCTTTTCCTCCCCAGCGGCCGAGTTCGGAGAGCCCACTTCTGAGCAGACCGGCACAGCTGCTGGGAAAACTGTTGCTCCAGCTGCAGCCCCAGTGTCCTGGAAGCAGCAGGAGCCTTCAGCGCAACCACAGGAGAAGCTCTATAGGAATCCATGTGCGATGTTTGCTGCTGGAGAGATCAAAACGCCAGTGGTGGAGGGCATCCTTGATTCACCCAGCAAAACCATGTCAATTAAAGAAAGGTAATCGGATTTAATGACTGCAAAGTAATTCTATTAGGGAGGAACTACAATTTGCTTTTAAGAAAAGATCTGAGTAATGGGCAAAGAGAGGAAATCACGAGTCCAGCTACAAAGGAGATGTGCTGTTACTCTAGAATTCTTAGGGGACGTCGAGGCATTTGAGAGTGAACCGCAGTGACTGCTCCATCTGGTTGGGTAAGGCTGGATGAGGTCTGGATCCAGACTCGTATGAGGAAACGACAGAAGCAGACATTTGCTTGCTTTATTTGTTTGCAGTTTCATTTTCTTTTTTATATTAAATTCTTCTAGTCTCCAGTGATGTGAACAGAGAGCTTGGCTCTTTCCCTTTCAGATCCACGTGGCATCAAATTAAATGCACTCACTGTTTCTATTTGTATATGTAAAATATGTAGAAGGAATGTCTATGTAGAGGGAATGAAGATACATTCAATATATTCATAGAATATAAACCTTTGAGATTAAAACCTAAGTTTTGTTTATTTTACAGAAAATAAATGACTTTCCTGAACTGCATTTAGAAATTTTATATCAGGTAATAGAAATGAAAGATTATATTTGAGTATCAACACTGTAATATCATTTCATACAAAAGAGTGATGGAGGCACTGGCTGAGTGGCTCAGTTGGTTGGAGCGTTGTCCTGTAAACCAAAAGGCTGCTGGTTTGAATCTCAGTCAGGGCACATACCTAGGCTGCAGGTTTGATCCCCAGTCTGGGTGTATACAGGAGGCAAGCAATCGATGTTTCTCTCTCCTATTGATTTTATTTCTCTCTGTCTCTCTCTAAAATCAATAAACATCTCCTAGGATGAGGATTTAAAAAAAAAAAGTGAATGATGGAGGATTGAGAGGATGTATTTTAATGGGACAAAGAATAGGAGCTAAATGTTTCAGGTCATATTTTCCTTGTTAACCTTCAGCCACCATTGAATTATTGTAACAGTGACAGGAACACAGCATGAAGAAAGGTCTCCTCAAGTTCCCAGTGTGATAAGCAGAACTATTTCTACCATAAGTTCCTTGCGGTTCTGCCCACCTGGACTCTTCCTTAGCACCTTCCACCGCTCAGAAGTTTTCTTGCTCTGTCAGACTCTAGCTACTCTTATTGTTCTAGCCACAAGCCAAGCTTTTGAATGATACTCTTGAAATATCAACAAGATGGAGCCTTTTCCAACTAACAAATTTTTAAGGTTGTTAAATCTTATTTACTTTCTCCTTTATCTTTAAAATTCATGATAAATTAGACCTACTAGACTGAGGATGCATTGATGAAGGCTGACTGGGTCAACTAGGAGAGAGGACTCCTGTCCTGACGGTGGGAAACTGGTGGGTCTGTTCCAGCCCGAAGGCCTCCTCTGCAGAAACCTGCCTCAAAGAAGCCGGATCTCAGAGATCCAGCTATTGATTACCGGTTAGGTGAGAAGAAAGAGATTCCATTTAAGGGAATTAATGATAAATATCACTAATACACAGTTCTGATGTTATATAGATGTTTCATATGTTTGTGGAGAAAAATTCCAATGGAAAAGACTAAGATATGCCCTTCCTTTCACAGGCTCTTAAGACGGACCCGCCCCCATCTTTGGACATAATCTATCTGTTGGGACTTAGGACTTTTTTAAAGTATATTTTATTGATTATGCTATTACACTTGTCCCAATTTTCTCCCTTTGCCCCCCTTCACCCAGTAACCCTCTTCCCTCCAGTAATCTCCCCCCTTAGTTCATGTCCATAGGTTGTGCAAGTAAGTTCTTTGGCTTCTCCATTTCCTATGATATTCTTAACTTCCCTCTGTCTGTTTCGTTCCTACCAATTATGCTTCTTAATCACTGTCCCATTTCCTCATTCTCCCCCTTGCCCCTCCCAGCTGTCAACCCTTCAGATCATCTGTGTATCTATGATTCTGTTCCTGTTCTAGTTGTTTGCTTAGTTGTGGGGTTTTTTTTAGATTCAGTTGTTGATAGTTATGAATTTGCTGCCTTTTTAATGTTCAGGTTTTGATCTTCCCCTTTTTCTTAAATAAGTCCCTTTAACATTTTCTGTAATAATGGTTTGGTGGTGACAAACTCCTTTAGCTTTACCAAGGACCTACAACCTAGACTATTCAGCAAAGCTATCATTTAGAATAGAAGGGCAGATAAAGTGCTTCCCAGACAAGGTAGAGCTAAAGGGACTTAGGACTTTGATGAAGTTTTGTGTCTATCCGTGGTGTAATAATTATTGATTTACTTGCTGATTTTAGTAAATTTTAGTGTATTTGCATCTTTCTGAAAGCAGTTTTAATCCTACTGTAAAATTCTCATTTTGGAAAATGTGAGATGCTATAAAGGTTCAGCCTCTTAACTCAGGCTTTGAGGACGACAGAAGAGTTCAAGGATGGCTGTAAGGCTTCTGGGAACTGCCTGGAAGTGCTCCAAGTCCCCTGTGTGTGCACACGCACCCTCTGGCTGGTAGGAGACAGAACGTCTCTCAGTCTCCAAGAGTGACCCCACACTGCTCAGAACCATGATGGTACTGAGTGCTTGTTAAATATTTAGCTATTCAGTTTAATTGTTAAAATATACAGGCATACTTCAGATTTATTGCAAGTTTGGTTCCAGACCACTGCAATAAAGCAAGTATCACACTAAAGTGAGTGGTAATCTTTTCACTGGTGGAGAGTCTTGCCTTCAATTTGTAAAAAATGGAACATCTGTTAAGCTCAATAAAGCAAAGCACACACACAATGAGGTGTGCCTATACATTTGAAAAAGGATGAGGAGCCCTTTATTTAGCAGCTATGTTTATAATACATTATGTTAATACAAAATATATTGCCAGTGATCCCCACCCTGATATTGATGGTACTTTTATTTGTATTTTGCTAAAATAGCAAAACTATATATCCTTACAATCTATCTGTGATAGCTTTTCCCTAAATTGGGTTTATAATCCCTCCCCTCCTGTTCAGTTGAGATAATGAAGGGTGACCTATTTAAAATAAGAATGCTATTCTTGTATTTATTTGGGTTTTACTTTTCTTTTTTGAGGTGGCATATAAAATAGAACTTTGGAACCTTACTCTAGCTTCCTCTGACTGCCTCATTCTGCCAAAGGGGGCGGGGGGGCTCCAGAGGCCGCGCGTGCGGTCCCACAGCGAGTGAGCAGAGCCGACCTCAGGCAGCACCCCGGCTGCCCCCTCAGCCCACTCCTCTTTACGAACATGTCTGATGCTCAAGGAGAAACATAGATAAAAGTTTGTTTTCTTTTTTCATCTTCTCTGACGTCGGAGGTCAAGTGTCGAGTGTGAACCCTAACGAGTACAAACTTAAACACAACGTGCTTCTTTCACGGGATTAATAAAGTCACTGCTTCATAACAGGGCGTAAGTTGTCCCTGTTTGGGAACTCCTTTGAAAAGCATTGTGAAACAAATAATATGTATGTTCTTTAGGAATAAAACCTTTGATACCTCTTTAAAATTACACTAGGCTTTTAGAAATCGTACTTCCACAATTACTGAGACAGCCAAATCTGAGCTTTTATGTTGGGGAGAAGATAACTAAAAAAGGCGAAGGAGCCACCTTTTCACTGGGAAATTGGTGGACTGTGAGGACTTAGTTGAAGAATATTGCAGAGCTCGTCCCATGCCTCCTGCCAGCTTGCAGAGTCCTGACTCACAGGGGCAGCTGGGGTTCCCCTGTGTTGCCTGCCTGCCCCTCTATCCACCCTTCTGCCCTCCACCCAGCAGAAGCTGCATTCATGCTTCCCCAGCACAGTCCGCATTCCTACCTTAGCCGGGAGATTTCAGCCACTAGAGGGCCTCAGATTTATGTAAGAATTAGGAATGATAAAGGTGCCGTGCCCCTGGGACCCTCCTTTTCTGATCTCTGATTTGCCGTCGTTTAAACAACATGTTAGTTCACTCCTTCAGCCTGCAAACTTGCCAAGGACACTATAAATACGAATCAGTGCCATCCAGCCTTATCTGAAATCTCTGTGGTGCCCACGCTTCTCTGAGATGCAGGGACGTTTTTAAAGAAGGAAGAAGGATGTTGAAGATTAGGGGCCGTGGTTTGCCGGTCCCACATGCACCCCAGCCCTGACTGCTGCGAGCCTGCAGAACTTGTTCTCGTCAGGCCAGGCTGTCAGATCCGTGCCCCGAAACAGCCCCTCAGGCCACTATTCTTTGCTGAAAAAGTGTGGGCTGTGGCAAAAGGGCCGGCCATTTCCCGGGCGGCCTGGCAAGCCCACGTCATGGGGGCCCTGGCCAAGCCACGGGGTCAGCAGGCTAACACGGTGCCACTCACTGGGTTCTCCGCCTCAGACGGAGCAGATGCCCAGGCTCTCCACATCACAGCCCTGCAAATAGCACTTGGACTTGGCGGATGTTAAAAGCGCTGACAGTTGTTTGAATTGCATAGGCAGTAATTTATGTCATGTGTAAGACCAGACGTTAGCTGCTCGGCCCTCTCCTGTGCCCGGCAGTCTGCAGTGAGCCAGGAGGGTCGTGAGACTGCAGGGGCAAGAACGCATTCAGAAAGGGCTTTTGCCCTCCTCTGCGTGTGGAACACCAATTAGGAAATCTAAAGGGAAAGGAATAATACATTAAAATGTCAATGCATGTCATTTTTAAGTTCTCTATCCTTTGTACCATGTAGGCTAGGGCTGAGCCCAAAGTGCCATGTGGGGCTCAGTGGAACCAGTTTCTTCCATCTTCTTTTGGTTACTCTGTCGTTGTTGGAAGTCCCTGAGGATGGCCCTGCCTGCACAGCCAGAAGCAAGATTTCTGGTTCTTGGAATGAGGGAATCTTCGAAGGCCACTTCAGACAGGGCTCGGGAGAACATTGTAACAAAGCCAGAATACTATGCTGTTCTTGAAACCTTAGGGCAAATGTTTCTGGTCAGCCCATGTGCTGAGGTAGTGAAGCAAGCCTGGACTGGAGGCAGGACGTGCCCGGTTGGAACCACATCTCCCTGTCAGCTAAATCTTTGGCCTGTGTGTGCCTCGTTCCTTGTCTGTCAGGTTGAAACTAACAATACTTAGTTTCTTAAAGGTTGCTGTGCAGATCAGCGTAAGTTACACTATAATGTGATTAGAGTCTACAATTTGTTTTTTTCTAAGCCAGTTTTTTATCCCTCAAATCAGCCACCAGCGAAACCAAATAATTCTTTAGATGATGTCATTGCTCCAAATATTTGGGAGCTTCTTTCTGAGAAGGTCCTCAAAAACTGTAGCACATTATGTTTAATAAACCCAACTCATGAGAATGAATTTTTTATTTTTTAAAATTCTCTCAAATCATTTGGAATCCAGTCTGATTGGATTAAAAACTGATCCGCATCCAAGGTGAAGAGACAGCTGGATCTAAGGCACATCTGCACGAAAGGCTGCAGCAAGGTGCCTGTCTGTTGTCACAGGATGATGGGTTGGAAGCACCTCTTCCTTTGGGTGAAGAAGTACTGACACACTTGCTTTTTGAAAGTCTCATTTACAGGTATTTTGAAAACCTTGAAAGCTCTGCTGCAGCATGCAAATACTAATTATATCTTTTAATGATTTGATTTTGTTAAATTCTTTTTTCTCATTAGAAAAAGCTGACTCATTGATAATAATTGGAGAAATGATAACCTTAGTCATATGTAGACTGAACTTCAGATGAAAACTGGAAAGAAATTTAGACTTTGTTTTCAAGTACATGAACTAGCCCTTGTAGCATGCAGAGTCTTATCAAACATCTTTGTTTATAGAATTTACGGTTAAATGGATCCTTGAGCCAAATGTGGCCTCTCTTAGTAAGATTCTGACTTTAATTTTCAATGTGTATGTTTCCTCCCCTGCCCTGATCACCAAGCAATTCTGACATCATCTGGGTGTGAACTCAATTCTGACACTATCTACCTGGAATTAGCATCAGATCCCACAGGTGAAAGACTCAGTCCTAAGAGACTGTCTCCCACCCCCATTTCAGCTGCCAGTCATAAACCTGATTGTTACTTGTACATTTTACTTTCTGGTTATAAATCAGAGGCTCCCACCACCCCCTCCTTGGGTTTGATTAATTTGCTAGAGCAGCTCACAGAACTCAGAGAAACATTTCACTTACTAGATCACTGGCTTATCATAAAAACATATAACTCAGTAACAGCCAGATGAAAGGGATGTTTAGGGCAAGGTGTGTGGGAAGGGGCACAGAGCTTCCACATCATCTCCAAGTGCACCGCTCTCCCCAAATCTCCATGTTCCGCCCACTCAGCAGCTCTCTGAACCCTGTCCTTTTGGGTTTTTATGGAGGCTTCATTACATAAGCATTATTAAGCTCAGTTGCAAACAGCCAATGATTTGATCAATCTTCAGTCTCTCTCCCCTCTTCTTAAGTAAGGAGGTGGCATTGAAAGTTGGGTTTCCTGGCACCGGCCCCTGTCCTTAGATGCTTCCCAAAAGTCACGTCATTAATATAATAAAAGACACTTTACAGTTCCCATCACTGAGGAAATTCCAGGAGTTTTAGGAGTTCTGTGCCAGAAACAGGGACAAAGACTAAATGTATATATCTTACTATAAATCACCATATCAGAGATAGATAATGTGGCATTATATCAGTTTTATAGAATGGCCATTTGAGGTCTTATCTGCTGTCACACAGCAGAAAGGAAGAGAAAGGAAGGGAAAAGAAGAGACTGGGGAGGGGATAGGTCCAGAATTTGAAGCTTCCGCCCCCATTGGGGGGTTCTTTCCTTCATGGCTTACTTTCCATTATTTGACTGAATGAAGAGACAAGTAATAAGATCTGATCATGTTTGAATTTGTAAATGTGAATGGGTTCTTGTTTAGTGTTGCAAAATTTTTCTTATTTGTTTAACAAAACTTTTATCATGGAGTGTGATATATCTCATCCCATCTCCAATTCCAAATTTAATAGTGATCCTATTTAATAGGATCAGGGAATTTAATCGAAGGGTGTTTTAAGATCATCCAGTCCAGTTCCCAAGATGACTAACGAGGAAAGGAGACCAGGCTTCTTGACCAGAGAGTCAATGGCCAGGCTAGAGCTGGTGTCATGCTTACAAATACGCCATTTGTGGACAGGCATTAATGGTGTGTAAATTTTAAACACGGCCCAATAGGCTGGGCAGAGAGGACAAGGGGTCTCATCATTTTTCCCCAAATCTTTAAAGTGTTTGCGCATCAGCTCAAGTGAGTTCAACGATCCCCATGTTTTCACCTTTTATCTTTCCTATTTGTCCAACGGAAAGCCTCAGACTCCTTCATTCGTTGTAATAGAGTTAGCAGCTGAAACAAAACCACCTTTCACAGGTTATGGCATCCGAGCAGCTTTGTCAGGTCACACTATAATGGAACTGAAGTAGGTTAGGTAAAAAACCTCAGTTAATTAGATTCTTTTTTTATAGATAGCTTTCCCCTGAGGAAAGTTGAAATAATTTTTAAAGTGGGTTTGTGGGGAAGTTTCTGTATTAAGAAGATAGATTAGAAAGACCAGGTTTATTTGGAGGGGGAAAAAAACAGGACTTAGAGTACAGGAAAAACATTCTTAAACATCATCTTTTACCTGTAATTGAAAGATATGATATTAAGAGATTGTCAGTGTTTTATAGCTTTAAGTTTTTAAACCTGTTTCTGCTCTATTTCCTGCAAGCAAGTTATTATCTAGCGTTAGTCATTACATGTTGTTTCATCAAGTGACCAGAAGGGGTCACTAGCAGACACTTCTCTCTGGGGATCATGCTCTCAGCCCAACCGCAAGGAAAAATTACAGCTATTCCTTTGGTGGAATGATGATGCAGTTTTATCTGGCAAGTCAGATTTCAGCTTTGCATTTCAGACAACTTTAAAATCTTTGGGCCATCTTAGAAAAGGGACTCATATTATTTTTCCAGACATACTTTGGAATAAATGAAATACAGAAAGATTGAAATTGGATAACTGTAGTCACCTAGTGGCCAGACCTCTCATTTACCTACATTATGGTTCAGTTACAAGTCAGAGTTTGGTGCTGAACTCTTCGGTTGGCATGTTTTCCCCTTAGATTAGCACTGCTGAAGAAGAGCGGGGAGGAAGATTGGAAAAACAGACTTAGCAGAAAGCAGGAGTACGGCAAAGCATCCATCACGAGCAGCCTGCACATACAAGAGGCGGAGCAGTCACTCAAGAAGAAGGTAAGTTCTCTGTGGTAGGAAAGGCGTGCTCACTGCTGTCGCGCTCAGAAGTGCGTCAAACAGGCATGCATGACTCTGCTAATCACCGCTCTGTGAGGCGCTAGCACTGCCTTGCCTGTGGAGTTCACACTTAAAGTCTGTCTGGCAGCAGCTTCAGTTGATCAAAGGTAAAGTCTTGAGATGTCACAGAGCTGGTAACAGCACTACCCGCATAATGTGTCAGCAGGAAGTTCCTAAATTTTGAAGTGTGTACTTTTACTTTTCTTTAAAACCTTCTTAAATGAAGTCTGACTTGATAATGGTATTAAAGCCTTTCTCATGAAAAATTTCAGTTGACCACGAACACTTTATACGTTGCATATAAAGTATAGACTTAAATGTCCTATATTGGGATTTAGAACCTAAGTATACAAAATAAGGACGTAATTTTCATGATCCGTGAGACATTATTTCTTAATCGTAAGCATTTTTCACATTGAGCAGGTATCCTTTTATTGAGAATATACAGGAAAATACAAGTTTAAAATTAATATAAAATTAAGTAACACATTGTTACCATTACTGGCAAGGATTTCATAATGCAAAGCATTGAGGAGTTGTTAATCTCTAATGTATGACCAGCTTTTGACCAGATAGTGCACACTTTCAAAACAGGTAGCGACTTCCCTGCTACTTGGCCTGGTGACTGCAAACGCACCTGCTGGCTGGGGGCAGGGGAACACCTGCGTCAGACACGTGCACAGGCCAGCTTCTAGCATCAAAGTCTTCAAACAGAAAAGAAAGAAACTTCCTACCAGACTATCACCTGGACCCCTCTAGTTCTAAAACAACTTAAGCGTCTGCAGAAGAGGGAAACCGTGAATGTGACCTGCATGCATTGCACAGAAAGCGAGTGTGCCCATAGGCCTGTGAGGCAGGGGCGCTGGCACTAGTGTACACAGTACTTCTGTGTCTGGATAGGTTAAATGGGAATAGCAATTTGAATTCTCTCTCTTGAAACACTTAACATTAAATAGAATGACTAAAAAATATTTAGTTCCTGGTAATTAGTAAATTTTTCAAATATAATCACATGTGATCTTTGGATTTGCATAGATGTGCAATTTAGAATTGAAGAATGAGATCCTGAAGTGAAAGCAAATCGGGTCCTTCAACTAGGTCCCAATGCCTACAAACTTTATTTAAAAGGATCTTAAAATCATTGGGGCAAAAATAACTTTCAACACTTTTGTCTTGTTGGTCATTTTGGAGGATACAAAGAAGACTTAGAAACTGGCAGTCCCATGTGGCCAGGTACAAATTAAAATAAAGCTACAAAACACAAAGCTAGACAGATTCTTCATGAATACCGAGTGGGATGAGATAAGTGCTCTGCCCGCTCAGAAGACAGGGGTCATTTGAGGCTCTGAAAACCAGAGGCTGTGAATAGGGGATGCGATCCGAACTACCCTAACCCTTGGCTGGGGGTTTTGGAAGTCAGAGAGGGGAGAAGCTGGCTGCAGTGGCCCGTGGGGTGGAAACCCCAGTCAGCAGAAGCCCCGCACAGGGGTGCTCGGCGTGCCCGGGGCTGGAGTGTGAAATGATGCTCTGGGCTAATGGAAGCTGCAGGTTCCGCAGCAACAGTGGACTCACGCCTCCTCTCCTCCTGAGCGACCCAGTTCACTTTGGCCTCAGACAATCAGCTCTTTGAAGTTAAAATAAGCCCATCTATTTTAGGCTTGTGTAGCAGACATGGGGATATCTCAAGGTCTGTTGGGGTCAAGTGGTTTTCACATGGCCTCTGATAAGCCCTTGGCTCAATTTCTTCCCAAGGGCGGGGGGTATATTTCTGTCACACCTTCGCTGTGTTCACATGTGAGGCGCCTTAAACCTGATCTGTCTGAGCACAGTCCCTAAACAACTGAGGAGTGCTTGAGAAATGCCACCGCTTGCCGGGTGTCCGGGTGCTGCCCTGGAGCAAGCGCAGCGCTGATGTGGTGCACGTAGGGGGCACCTTGCTTCATGGGCGCGGTCTAGCCTTGTTCACGGGAGGTGCACCAGAGCCGTCCATTTTCCCTGCACAGTTTCTGAATTCGTCAAATAGCATGGATTCATGGCCAGCAAACATTTACAGTTTGTCCTCCTCAAGCTTTTGTGTGCAAGAAGCCTGGTCCCACAAGTGGCAGCCCGTGGGAATGCAGAGGAGGCAGGAAGTAGAGACGGGACTCAGTAAATTGCTTCCGCTGCTCCTGTGAAAATCCCTGCTGTCCAATAAAAATATCATGTGAGCCACATAAGTAATTCTAGGTTGTCTAGTAACTATTTTAAAAAGTAAACTTTGCCTTAAAAATCTGTAACACTTTTGTTTCTGTCAAAGATTTCTCCAAAACAAAACAAATTTGCAGCATAGTAGCCAGCATCTTGTTTTGGGTCCTACATGGTAAGAAAATATTCTTTTGGCCCATGACTAGTTTTGGGAAATTAAGAGTTTTCCTTTCCCTCCTGAGAGATCAGTCATGTCTCAGAGAATAGGTGCCCTAACAGCAGCAGTTCCTCGCTTTGCAAATCTATCCCCCAAAATCAGGACTGAGGACCTGGAGCTTAAGAGTACGAATCCTTGACCGAGCTGACGCTGTCATTTCCTGTGACCAGCAGTTCGGTTCCTTCTCTCCCCTCTCTCCCTCACCACCCTCCTTTTCTTCTCTTTCCTTTCTCCTGTTCTCAGCTTAGTCCAGGGCATTGCTAACCTGACTTAGGCATTTGTGCTGTGCAGCATATGTAATTAGTTTTGAAGACTGGAAAGCCACTTGGTTTGTAGATTTGGCCCAATCCACACCATGTGGAATGTGTGCACTTGAGCACAGTCTGTGGACAGTTGCCTGCAGAATAACTCATTTCATCAAAGGAGTGAGATGAAGCGAAGTTTTAAAGAAATGATTTGGTACAAGTCTCTTTGTTACAACTATAATGCAGTTACTTATTTTCACCAAATAATTCTTTTAAATTCCAACCCCATGTTGGCATATTGAACATTAAGCCATAGGTGATGAATCCTATGTCCTTTTGTTAAGATAATCACCCAGGATAGCAGACTTTTCCAGGAAATAAAAACCCTGTATGCAGTTTGCTACTGCAACACCATGTCTGCTTCTGAGTCAGAAATCAGGGTTTGTTGCTCACTGTACTTCAGTAGGATCAGATCAGTAAATCAAGCTAAGGTCTGTAATGTCCCCAGCATGAGTCCTTGAAAATTCAGAGAAGGTAAATCTGCCCCATGCATTGTCATTGAAATCCCAAATCACAGTTTAGGAGAATGAAGTCTGTTTGAGGAGCAGGGGGAGAAGGAAGAAGGAGGCCGGAACAAAAGATTAGCATCCTGCTGGTGGGGTGGGAGCTTACCTGGGGCCTGTGCCACCTGCCTGTACGAGCACATGCATGCTTCTGACCGAACCCGGGCACAGCGTGCTGCACAGCGACCGTGACACCCTCATTGGACCCTGCTCTCCCAGCTCTCTGCAATGTTATCTATTTGTTTTAACCTGTAGGAAGAAGGAGGAGTCACAGATGATAGTGCCATTTCTAATCTGCTTTGGGTAAGCCTGCCTCTGACATGGGTGTCCCTAGATGACAGCCAGTTATGCCCCCCACGCGTGCCCTCCTAGAGATGGTGCCCTTGTTCAGTTTCTTATTCTGAGGCAAGATGTCACCTTTGTCCACAGTGGAGAGCCATCTGTGTTCTTAATATTTTTTAAATCATGTAATGGGAAAACTTTTAAAGGCTTTAACAAAGATATTTTATGGCAGATGTTAAAGCTGTCAATGAAAGTCATGGGTCCCCTTCCTGTAACTGAGCATCTTCTATAAATTACAGTAATCTTGCCATTAATTCACTTAATTACCCTGCAAAGTGGACTCTGGTATACTTACTGTGCTTGTGTGGATTTATTTTTTACTAAGTGAACAAGTGGGAAGGAGTCTTGAAAAGATCACTGAAATTGCAATGAGAAATTAACATGCTGCTAGAGAAATCATTGTTTTTGTCTCTCCCCCTCCCTACCCCGCTCTGATAAATCATCTCATCTCACCTCTAATCCTCTTGCTTTGCTCTATAGGAACCTGTATATGCTTCTACTTATTCTCCTGCTATACCTGCTGCCCATAAACACCTGTCTTTTGTATCTATTAATCAGGTGAGGAAAAGCCTACACATATTGAGCCTCATTGCAATTTCTAAGCAGTAAGGAAGAACTTGTTTCATTTGGGGAAGTAACTCCTTCGCTGCATTTGTGTGTGTATGTGTGATCAGCCCCTATGTTTCAAGTCAGTGACACAGTCACACATGTCATATATTTGGCTCAGACTTTCAGGTAGACCCGGTTGATGATATTAATTCACCTCATAATCATGACACTGGTTTAAGTTTGTCCTTTTAATCTCCAAGCTTTACATTCTAAGTTGAGTCAGGAGCCCAAGAAATGCACCAGAGGCCTTGCTCCAGCTCAGCAATGATGCCATCTCACTTCGCTTGATAAACAAGGAGGATGTGGTGGAGGCTGTGTGGGGTGTCGAAGGGATAGGGGGAGGGGACCAGTGTGGCAGGAGCTGGTGGCAGTGGCTCTACTGAAAAGAGAAACCGAAGCCTCCCACCCCCCCTACGCTCCATACTCCACCTGAAGAACCGCATCAGGCAGGGAGACTGGGCCAGGGCTGAAGGAGTCTGTTGGTGCATAATACACAATAACTTTTAAAGCTAAAAGTATCCGCGATTGTTTTTATTCCCCTTCGAATGTCCCTGGTGTCAGAAGAGCCATGAAAAGCAGTTGTGTCCACTTTGCCATGAACCCCACATGCTCCTCTCCCTCCATCTACAGGACCTGGCCCAGTTACTCCCCTCTTGTAGCCTCTGTCTCCTCAGCAGGACCAGTGCTTTGTTTGCTCTAAGGCAGCCTCTACTAAAAATTTCATGGCTGTATTGTCCCTTTAGGACTGGTAGTGACAAATCAGGTCTTTGGGTGTGAGGTGCAGGATTTCAAACACGAAATTGACAGAGCGGTGCTAGGGAGGGGGTCTGGGGGTCCTCCTGTCTGCACCCTGCACCGTCACACATGGACACTCCCCATCTCTACTCCCAAAGGTGGGTTTTTCCCCTCACTCTCCTTGGCCCCCGTCCTCTGAAGTTAGAAACGCTGGTCTGTGAGCCCGGCCTCACACAGCCAGCCAGTGTCCACCCAAAGAAGAGGCTGAAATCTGGAGCCAACTTGCTGTTCCATCACTAAGGAGGGACGTGAGTTGTTTCTTCTAAATAAGTAGACTTTAAATTAAAAGATACATTATGGAACTCCTTAAATATAAAACATAGATATTATATACACATATACTTTTTTAATAGGCTGGTTTTTAGAGAAGTTTTAGGTTCAGAGCAAAATTGAGCGGAAAGTGCCACAATTTCCCCGTGTGTCCCCCATCCCCACGCACACAGCCTTTCCCACTATTAGCATCCTCACCAGAGAGGTACATGTGTTACAGTCGATGAACCTATATTGACACATCATTATCCCTCAGAGTCCATAGTGTACATTAGGGTTCACTCTCGGTCTTGTACATTCTGTTGGTTTGGACAAAGGTGTAATGACATGTATCCACCATTGCAGTATCATGCATAGAAGTCTCACCGCCCTAAAAATGCTCCGGGCTCTGCTTATTCATTCCCATCTCCCTCCTGCCCCCCAGTCCTTGACAGCCACTGATCTTTTATTGTCTCTATAGCTCTGCCTTTTTCTGAATGTCTTAGAGTTGGAATTGTATGGTATTCAGCCTTTTTAGCTTGGCTTCTTTCACTTAGTAATGTGCACTTAAGATTCCTCCATGTCTTTTCATGACTTGATAGCTCATATCTATTTAGTGCCAAATAAAATTCCTTGTTGGGATGTAAGACATTTTGTTTATCCAGTTACCTACCAAAGGGCATCTTTGTTGCTTTCTAGTTTTGGCAATTATGAAAAAAGCTTCAATAAATGCTCACATACAGTTTCTTGTGTAACTCTAAGTTTTTCAACTCCTTTTGGTATTAATGAGGACAGTTACTGGGTCATATGATGAGAGTATATTTAACTTTGTAAGAAACTGCCGAACTGTCTTTCAAAGTGTCTATTTTGCATTCCCACCAGCAATGAGTGAGTTTCTGTTGCTCCACATCCTCGCCAGCATTTGGTTTGAATGTTGGCTATTCTAATAGGTGTGTAGTAGTATCTCATTGTTGTTTTCACTTGCTTTTCCCTGATCACATATAATGTGGAGCATCTTTTCATGTGTTTATTTGCCATCTGTATCTCTTCTTGGGTGAGGTGTCCATTCAGATCTTTTTAATATTTTTGATTGGTGGTTTGTTTTCTTATTGCTGAGTTATATGAGTTCTCTGTATATTTTGGATAACCGTCTTTTACCAGATGTGTCCTTGCAATCATTTTCCCCTAGTCTGTGGCTTGTCTCCTCATTCTCTAAAAGCATCTTTCACAGAGCAGAAATTCAGCTTGTCAGTTATTCTTTTGTTCATTATGACTATGGTGTCATCGCTGAACCCAAGCTCCTCTAAACCTTCTTTGTTATTTTCTACAAATTTTGTAGTTTTGTGTTTTACATTTAGGTCTCTGATACATTTTGAGTTAATTTTTGAAAGGTTTAATGTTCTGTATCTAAATTATTTTTTTCAATGTGGACGTCCAGTTTTTCCATTTGTTGGAAAGACTCTCTTTTCTCCACTGTATTGCTTTCGGTCTTTTGTCAAATATTAGTTGAGTATATTTGTGGGAGTCAATTTCTGGGCCCTCCATTCTGTTCCATTGATTTCTTTGTCTGTTTTTACACTAAAACCCACATTGTCTTGATTATTACTATAGATTTGTAGTAAGTCTTAAAGTCAGGTAGTGTTAATCCTCTGGCTTTGTTCTTCTTCAGTGTTATGTTGACTGTTATGTTTCTCTATATAAATTTTAGACTCAGTTCATCAATATGTACAGACTTGCTGGGAATTCGATTGGAATTGTACCAAATGTATAGATGAAGCTGGAAAGAACTGGCATCTTAACAACATTGCATTTCCTGTCCAAGAACATAGAATATCTCTCCATATATTTTTAAGTTTTAAAAAATATATTTCCCAGAGACAATCTATGTTTTATCACTTCACAGTTAAAATATCTTAAAACTTCTATATTTTTGCTTCTTGACAGCCTTCCCAGGTAAATACTTTACACACCAGTTACGTGGTGCCAGCCTGTCAGTTCCCGGAGGTCAGGGAACTCCTTTCCTCCACAGTCCTGGTGTCAAAATTCATAATGCAAGGGCTCAGAGAAGAAAAGAGAGCACTTCCACAGGATGCAAGCTATGTCTCAATGGTCTTTTTGTCTCTTTTTCAAGTTTCAACACATAATTTCTCCTTCCTCACATGCCTCAGGCTGTCCCAGAATGAGATTTCCCTTTATCCGCACCCCGCCCTGCCCTTGTCATTGCAGGAGCTGGTAGGTGGCGACAGGACCAGGCTGTGGCTACTTTGAGGTCTATACATAGTTGAAATCATTTTCATGTTCTGTTCAGACCACTTGAGACTATGTGCGCTGATGATGGACTGAGACCACTTAAGGCGGGGCAAAGCTAAATTTCTTTAACAGTGCACCGAATTCTAAATGGTGATAGCAGTTTTGAAAACTGAGAAGTGCTGATTTGTCCCTTTACCTTATTTCTATTACTTAACATGTGCTTTGATCATTTCATTCTGTAATTTAATTAGATGTGAATAAAATTTAAGAGCCACATCACAATGCTTTCTACCCATAAATCTCTCCAGTTGTGACAGAACTTCATTCTTGTCTGCGCTGACCCTACTGATCCGGGGTAGTTCCACTCTCCCTGTATCAGCTCCCTGCGTCAGAGACATTTCCTGAGAGTTGCACTGTAATTTCTCAGTACAGTTGACCCTTGAACAACGTGGTGGTTAGGAACACTGACCTCCCCCACCCCACACAGTTGAAACTCCACATACAACTTTTGACCCTCCAAAACTTAACAACTAAGAGCGTACTTTTGACCAGAAGCCTTACGGATAAAACTAACACTCATTTAACACATGTGTTGTATGTTATATGTATTCTTATAATAAAGTAAACCAGGGAAAAGAAAATGTTATTAAGAAACATCATAAGAAAGAGAAATACATTTACAGAATTTACAGAAAAAAATTTTATGTGTGATGGACGCATGCAGTTCAAACCTGAGATGTTCAAGAGTCAACTGTAGCTGTATAGAGGCAAACCCATCAGTAACAGTATGACATTTGAAAACATTCTTGCAGGTTGACCCTTCACACAGTTTCATGCTAGGTTCTGCCAAGTCTCTGGCCACCCCTAAAATCCTCCTCTCTTCTCAATTTTTTCACTCCTTTTTATATACATACACATGCACGTTCCCTCCCCTCTCCCCACACCACGTTCATGGAATCTGTGTTGAAAGGACTGAAGCACCGTTTGGGTGGGACTTCTGTTTATGTTCTGATGACTCTCTCTCACTATTCCAGTTGATCTAAATAACATCAACTAAACCTGGATAAACATGGGAAAATGGCACAATACTTATTACAGTATGTATTACATCCTTCTCTAAACAAGGGGAGAAAAACATAGAAGGGAAAAGCAGTACAACAATACAGTATTAGGCTGAAAAAAAGAAAAGTAAATGGACAAAGATGTCCATCTTGTTTTCACATTTTGAGTTCTATAATTTAATAGCCACTTAGAATAAATTTTTATTAGATTCTTCAGCGAATAAATAAGCTATATATTCCTTGCCTCATTACAGAGCAATGTGAAGTATAGTAGGAATTAGTGGACCCTGAACCAACCACACCAAGTAGCAAAATTAAGGTGAAACTTGTAGAGAAATTTCGCCTCTTATGTTTAATATTATCATTTAGAGAGGCCTAGAAAGTATACCTTCTTAACATGGATCTGTCACACTAGTGGAAGCTTTAAATCCTAAAGCAGCTGTATCATTCAGATGCTCATATGTGTGATGGTCTCACAGGACCTTGAGGGAAATCCAAGTGCTTTAGGGACTGGAATTGCCGATTCAGGGATTCCTGAGTCATTAACTGCATCCTGACCTTGGAAGTGCTACTGAATTCACTACAGAAACGGGGGGATCCTTGGACAGGCAGACCTTCTTGACACTTGATATGTTTTCTTTTTCCCAAAATATTTTAAGGCAATTGCTGTGTTGATTTGATTCAAATTCATTCCTGAAACTTCATTTTCAAAGAAAAGTTACTCTCTTTTATGAATTTTGATGAAGTCTTCCTGGCAGGTCAGCCTCACAGTTTATTTAAGAAGGGTATGGGACTCACAGTTACTGGGAGTTATGGTCATTTCAACAATTTTGAGTGAGACAGTTAAGGAAAAGGATTTTTAAAATTTTTGATAGTTCTTTATTTTGATAAAATTTAAAGCTTATAGAAAAGTTGTCATAATAGACAGGGCACTCTCATATGTCTTTTACCAGATCCATCTGTTGGCATTTGCTCCCTCCCCGCCTCCTCTCGCCTTTCCTGCCTCCATCCCCCTCCCGCGGGCTGGCTTGCTGCTTTCCCTTTATCATATATTTCTTTGGCCTCCCAAAACCATCACATTAGGGATTAGCTTTCAGCCAATGAATACGGGGGTGCGGAACACAGACATTCCATCTATAGCACACTTCCATAACCATAATTCAGTCATTAAGATGCGGAAATCTCACATTGATACGTTTATTCCACGGTGCATATTTCTGTTGTTTCAGTTCCCCCCTAATAATGTCTCCTTTAGCCCCACTCCCACCCCATTTAGGATCCAGGCCAGGATCATGCATTGTGTTTCGTTGTCATGTCTCTTTAGGAAAAGATTTTTAACCTTATTTAACCAGTTCTGGCTATGATAGCTTTGTGGAAGAGTTCTGTAAAAGGAAGCTTCATAAACAAGATGGTGGAGAAGTCCATATTCACAGCTTAAACCAGCTTGTACCAGTGTAGGCATGGTTTTATGCTTCTGTGTGGAAGAAGTTATTTCCCGCCAGTCAGTGCAGGGAAGCTAACCGGCCAGGGTGGATGGAGTGGTGGTGACCCCAAGCCCCCTAGGATGTATTTCCCCTGGGGCTCCCACCTGTCAGTGGGAGCCTGGCCTTCACTTTGATCTGTGTTCTTCAAAGGGAAAATCCTCTTGAGGGAAGAGGAGTTGGGGAAGCTGCCAGAGTAGTTAAGGAGAGCTCAGCTGTAGTTTGAAACCACATGCCCCAGCAGAGGTGGCTTTCCTGGTCTACGAAGAGCCTGAGGAGAGAGCTGAAGCCCACGCCCAGGGAGCTGGCCACCACCATCTTTAGAGCCCGTCCCTAGACAGACCTCAGGGTCCACAGCCCCGAGAGGCAATATCTGCTCCGGGAGCATGCTCGTCTCCCTCCCTTCCCCCTCCACACTGGCTCCCACCGTGGCAGCCCCTCTCCCCTGCGTCTTGCCCTGGCCCATGCACCCCACAAAGAAGGGAGTTGTAGTGAAAGAAGGGATGGAGTGAAGGCGGAGAGAAAGCAAACTCTGTCCTGCCAACACTGGAAGAGCCGGGGCCGTCCTGCTGCTGTCATCACCCGCTTCCTCTGGGCCACACCCCCCCTCCCTGGGCCCTGTGTGCCTTGAGCCTGTCCTTGCCCTCCTCGCTGCTCCTCTTCCTCTCACCTCAGCTGGGCACCCAGAGCTGCCCATCCTGTCCTGCTCCCTCGGGTCCCCTCCAGCTTCTTCCTTGGGCTGAGTGAGCATCCCTAATGGCTTAGAAGGTGAAGAGGCATGTAACTCTAGAACCCCAGTTAGAAACTTATAAAAACCCCCTTTTTTATGTAAAAATGTTATTATATGTGTAGGTTATGTCTATAGCATAGTTCATCCTCAATGTCAGATATATTATGCCTTAACCGTTAGGATCTGGTTACCTAATCGCACGTGTAACATAGTTGCTCTAAGAAAAAAAAGCATGTCAAACTTCAGAAAACTTTCTTGTAGCATACCTTACTCCTGATTGGCTTTCCCTCCTTTATCATTGACCATGTTCCCTGTATACTTAGTGGATAAGATTTTCTAGATTGATCATGTTCTCTGAGAGATAACATGCATGCGCGCGCACACACAAACACACACACACACACACACACACAAATACAAAGGTCTGTACAGAAGGTATCCAGACATGTAATATGAAAAATAGAGACACTTATTGAAGAAGCTACAAAAAATACTGTACACAGGACAATGATGCCTCAGTCCCCCACAAAGTAGACGCCTTGGGACCTCACACAGTTCTCTCAATTGCCATTAGCTACCCCGTTGTATTTTCCTGAATCTCATCAATGGTCTGAAATTTCTTCTTTTTCAAAGATGATTTTAGTTTTGGGAAAAGCCAGAAGTAGCAGGGCACCAAATCAGCTGTAGGAGGCTGAGTCAAAAAACTCCACACGCCATTTGATGAGTGAGCATGTGCATCATCGTGATGAAGCTGCCAATCACAAGTTGCCCAAAGCTGTGGCCTTCTGAATCATCTAAATAGTTTCTGTGTAGGAATGCTCGAACTTAACACAAAATTTGATGCAGATACATTGCTCTTCTTGCTCAGTCATTTTGACACTACACTTGATCTTAGCCAAAAAGCTGAGAAACAGTTGCTCATTTTGAATGCAATGGCCACACAGTACACATGCTCACTCAATAACATCTACTGCCCCCACTGACTAAGTACAGTGAAGTCATCATTGTTCATATGTGCACATTCCAGTCCACTCTCCTTGGCTGCTAGGTTACATCAATGTCATGTAAACTGCCCTCATTGTATTAACAATGGCTGGATTTTTTTCAGGAAAGACTCTATGTACATATATACGTGAATAAAATTTCCTCAACAAACCGAGTTTAACCAGATAGGTAAAACAGCAACTTTAAAACCCTGTATAGTTCATGACATGAAGGCAGTCTCTATTTTTATTTATTTTACAAAATATCCTTATGTTCCAATGTTCCAAACAAATAGTAAAAAACAAACAAACAAACACCAAAACCAAAAACCTAAGTTTTAATTTAAAATTCAGTACTGTAGATAGTGATCTCTGACCAAGCTGGCAATAAGGAAGCTAGAACAATTATGGCTAGTGTGGGACAGTGTAGTGCTCCTCTTTGTTTACCTGCTTTTCAGCCTACAAAACACTACATGCTAAAATTCACTTCTCATTTCCCTCTTCTATTTTCTCCTTTGTGCATGTTAAAAACAGCGGGTCACAGAAAGTCGAGAGACCCAAATGACTATTGAAGAGAGAAAGCACCTCATTACTGTGAGAGAGGAAGCCTGGAAGACCAAAGGCAAAGGAGCAGCTAACGACTCCACCCAGTTCACGGTGGCCGGGAGAATGGTGAAGAAAGGTCAGAGTGCACACGTTTGTACACGTGTGCGTGTGTGTGCACACACGCCATCGCCCATGGAGGGGAGGGGGCCTGTGACAGCTTGATTACAACAGTCATGCCATGTTTTTCAATCTCACTGAAGTTGTGTGAATGGTTTTGGGTAGGTTTTCTGAGATATTCCTGCCGAGAGCCTTTTTTTCTACAGACCATCGTCTTCAATGTAAAGAGCATAATTCAATGAGTCACATTTCAAAACTTGGCCATTTGGAAATTGAGCACAGGTTTCAAAAGCAAATGTAAATCTTCTTACAAATCTTAGTTCTTTTCCATAATTGCTTTTAAATTATTTCCATTTCCTTGCCATCTGGCAGTCAGTTAACCCAAATCAGTCTTTCTCGAAAGAGAAGGAATTTCTCTCCTCTCCCTTGTAACGAAGTTTCTGGGTCCCTTTCCATCAAATCAGAGTTCTCTGGCTTACAAAGCTGGATTTCCAGGTATGTTTTAATAGATGTTTAAACAGCATCTCCAATGTAAGGAAGTGGGATTTCCCTGCAGACAGTCATTTCTCGGCATCTGAGCTCTTGGAACTGATCTGAAGCCTATATCCCAAGACAGGAAATTGAGGGATCACATAGTCAGTAAAGTCACCAGAGTGCTTTGAGCCTCCATATTCTGTAGGAAATGGTTAAAATTTGGGATCCCTTTGTCTCCTATGTGCAGACCTTCATTTTCTAAGCTCTTCCTTAAAAACAAATTTTCTTACTTACTGATAAAGGTTTTCACATTCAAAATTAATTTATACTGTCATCAGCTCTTTAGGTTTATCTTTCCCTTCTCTTAAAATCTTTCAGGATCCTCACTCATAAATAGTGTGTAACTCACTGTAGTCTCCTAATAAATGTTTGCAGAAGGAAGAGAGGGAAGGAGAACCCCTGAATTGTGATTAACTCAAATCTTGGTGGAAGAATCCTCTCTAATAAATCTTAACCTTGGAATTGTCAAAAGATAACAGCAGATAATTTACTCTCGCAGAATGAGGTAGCATTTGAGCATCTTCACCAAGTCACAGAACTGTATAATCATGTTAAACTACTTTAGCATGAGCCCTATCCTGTGTTCACAAAAGCAGCTCCTTGAAGCCCACACTGGTCGAAAAGAACTTCAAGCTGAGAACTTGAAACAGAGCTCAGATCCCCCAACCTCTAGCCTGGACTTTTATCCTGATGACTTCTTTATTTTGTCTTCTTTTTTCCTCTTCCATCTTAAAAATCACAATTTATCTGTACATAAGCCTTTACTATAAAACCCCACTGCCCTCATCCACAGCAATGTCAGAGGAAGAAGGAGGTTTGCTCTTATGCTGGCTTGGAGAGCAAGGTCCAAGAATTCCTCTGTCTTATGGGGTGAGCTTGCATTCACATTTTCCTGAATAAATCAGGAATATTTATTTAACAGTTGCTGTATAGCTTGTTCAGGAAATAATTTTCATATACATTTTGCAGCCACAAGTTACTGCACGTCAGTGAATTGCCAAGAGGCCTGCTGTACCCTCATTTTTATTCTCTCACAAAGAAAGCTCTACTCTCTCCTAGCCTCATTAAAACTTTCTCGATATTCCTAGAGTCTCTGTAACAATTCGTGCTCCGAAAGATTTCGGTGGTCTTCCAGTATTCTCCTGGAAGAAGAGTACTCAAAGTGTGCCCTTGAACAAGAGTGGGTCACTGGCTACTGCATGTAGAAGTCATTAAAAAGAGGTGTGGGGAATGCTTTGTTTTAACATTGGGTAAATTCAATCTCTTTGCCCTCCTTCACTGTAGAAAAATTCCTATTTCTAGCTGGGAAGGAGATGGCCCACCTCCAAGACCTGTCCTGCACGCTGCTGCCTGAACGGGCAGCAGGGGGCGCCCTGGCAGTACCGAGCGCCAGGCTTCCTGATGGCTTTGAGTCAGGCCTGTTTATTAGCTTCAGAGTTAACGACCTCTGTGCTAATGAACCTTTCCATCCCTTTTATGCATCCTTTTAGTAGGTAATGATTTACCTCCCCAGCCTGTGATACCAAATTTCACCTAATTTTATTATCTTTCAAGAAAATTTACTTTCTCATTGATGTAAACCCTTTGCAACTGCAAAAATTGAGATAAATTTTGAAAATTTTACTGTCATCATTAAGTAAAAATATATATGTCTTGCGGACTTCTAGACTATCACCTAAACCTTAAGTTTTAAACTGTATTTCAGGATTTTTCCTTAAAATTTTATGCTATATTACATCTTCCTCTAGTTCACAGGAGGAAGGAGCAGAGCAACTCATTTATTTATTTTTCCTTGTAAGTGATAGTGACATCTTCAGATGTTGTTCTTTGAGCATCTAAGGATTTCACATTTATTACAAATGAATATGAAGAACATTAACACCTCCTGTTGTTCCTTGTAAATGTATTTATTATTTCCCTTTCCAAATGCTTGTACTTAAGTTGGGAGGGGAAATATTGATTTGTTTTTATTAAAATTTCATGTTCCAATTAGATATCTTCTTTAAGCTGGAATTACTGTCTTTCTCTTTCCTATGTCCCTTACCATTTTTCCTTTTAAAGATTTCCCACCTGCTTCTTGGTAAGTACACGAGAAAGCATATCCCTGATTCCTAGCCACACCCGAGAGAGAGAGGCCCTCCCAAAGAACACAGATCAATTTAAATGTATGCTCTTCCACATCTTTATTCTAAAAGGTTAGCACTTTTGAGGTATTGTTCAATGGGACCACATTCCTGAGTGATACCCCCAAAGGCTATGCTGTCCCTACCTCACCTTGGACTGGAAGGAAACTCAGAGCCGGGAGCCGCTTGCCAGCCACCACACGGCCCGTTCTTATCTTCCTTGGTGGGAGCCAGTGCAAATGACTTTCTCTTCAGCTGCGTCCACCACCACAAAGGGCCTTCGAAACTCACATTCCATTTGTTTAAGGATATTCCGATAGCCTGTTGTATTTTCTTATTCCATCTGCGTGCTATGGACATATTTCCCCCACACATCCTCATTGTTCTTTTTGGAATGGGAGCTTATCAGCTATTGCAGTCCTTAGAAACTACCAAATTCTATCTACATTTGTAGTTGTCCTACATAGTCACAGTACTTGCCAAATGTACCTGTGTATACACATGTGTGCTTGTGTGTAAATTCTATACATTATAAAATCTACATTAGAGATAAGAGAGATCCAGCAGGGTCCAGGATGTGTCCAGAAATGACTCTGAGATATTAAACAGCTCCCTTGTGTGCTCCTCAGGTTTGGCATCACCTAGTGCCATAACGCCAACAGCGTCGCCAATATGCAGTAAGACAAGGGGTACAACACCCATTTCCAAACCCCTGGAAGGTAAGTCACTGAGACACCTGATACGCCAGTGGCTCTGTGATCAGAAGAGTCCTCAGTTGTACTCTCATTGATGGTTTCTACCTGCCTAGATATCGAAGCCAGACCAGACATGCAGTTAGAATCGGACCTGAAGTTGGACAGGCTGGAAACCTTCCTGAGAAGGCTGAATAACAAAGGTACATGCCAGCAGCCAGAGGGAAGCTTTGGTTTATATACCTGTAGCACACTGCGATTCGGATTTCAGTGAGTAGCCAAGGAAGCCGAAAAAGAACCTGCTCCTCTCAGAATCTCTGACTCCCAATCGTGATGGCCTTCTCCTCAGCTAAATTGTCTTCTTTCTATATGACTGCACTGATTTATACTGTAAGCAGTATCTTTGTTGTTATCTTTTAAAAAAGGAAGTTACTGGTCCAGTCTGATTGTACTACCAAGCTCTGATCCATTAGATAATGTACTAAATTGGGGACCCCCAATAGCATTTTTCCTTAAATCTAAATCCTTGGGATGTCAACCCAGCAGAATCGTGGTTTAATTTTGCTTTTAACCCTGAAAGCAGATTATTATACTTACACAACATCTACATGATCTTGGGCCTGATGAAATTTAAAATGGATATGTCGATTTCCAATAAGGTAGCAGGTGATAGAATCAGAAGTGATTTCTGAAAGAAAATTCTAGTAAATGTATGCTGAAATATCTCAGTACAAAAGTCAATGGAGTATACAAGATAAAAGAATAATATGCAGCAATACCCTTATCTCTTAATTAAAATTATCAGTACTTGAAACTTATCAAATGCTAAACTTTGCAAGTCCCTACCATTGACACTGACCCCAAATAAGCTGGAAATAATTCAAAAAACCCCTTTAAACCAGAAATATAAGAGTAATAAGATAACTAACTTGGCAAGGCAAGCAGTGCAAACAATTCAAAGCTTATTACATATATGTAACAGTGATCTAGCCCAGGGGTCTAATCCAGCGCACCACCAGTTTTTGTAAATAAAGTTTTATTGGAAAACAGTCATGCCCTCCTGTTAAGGTGCTGTCAATAGCTACTTTTGCACTACTGCAGCAGAGTTGAGTAGTTATAACAACAGGCCATCTAGATTCCCACACAAAGCCCAAAATGTTTACTCATGGTTCTTTGCAGAAAAAGACTTTGCTGAACCCTGATCTTGAACGAGGCTGAGGCTACTTCTGTTTCAAGTAGCAAAAGGAACTTAGTGGGCTTCTGTGCCTCAAGACCAGCCTTGCTTTCTCCTAGCACATCCTGGCACAAGCTGTGTTCATAATGGAAGTCCTTTCATGAGAAGGCAAGGCAGGCCTTTGAAGCATCCACAGTACCCTGGATGTCCCTGTAATGATATATGAAAGTATGTTCAGTTTAGTAACAGAGGAGAAGAGATTGGAGAGTTCTGTTCTAACGTTACAAAATAATAGAGTTCAGGGTGAGCTTCCATCTGTTCAACTTAGGGAGAAAATAATTGTTAAAGTATTGCGAGGTACAGTCGGAATAATGTTTTTACAAAAGTTTATGTCATTTATTTGCTTGTTTATTAATAGTAGGTGGGATGCAAGAAACTGTACTCACTGTCACCGGCAAATCTGTGAAGGAGGTGATGAAGTTGGACGATGACGAAACCTTTGCCAAATTTTACCGCAGCATGGACGAGACTGTGCCAAGGAGTCCTGTGGAGCTGGAAGAAGACTTTGATGTTATTTTCGACCCTTATGTTCCCAAGTAAGTTACTGCAAATCCATGTTTCACCCACTGAGAATGGACTCCCTCATCGGCCTCCACCCAACATTTTCATGAGGATCTTCTCTCTCTGTTACACACCTGTGACAGAGCTTCATGGCAGCCAACTTATTACAGTAGCCTCTCCTCATCCATGGGGGATACATTCCAAGACCCCAGTGGATGCCTGAAACCATGGATAGTACCAAGGTCTTCATACACTATGTTTTTTCTTTTCTTTTTAAAACAATTTTTAATTGTATTTTTTCCATTACCATTTAACCCCCATATGCCCCCCTCCCTCCTGCAATCAGCACACATTGTCCATGTCTGTGAGTCTTTTACTATGTTTTTTCTTTTGCTACATACATACCATTTCACTTAAAGGGAGCACTGTAAGGCTTCTCTCTGGCATATCTGAATCACCAGCATCACTACTCTGGTTCTTTGGGGCCATTAAGTAAAGTAAGGGTGACTTGAACACAAGCCCTGTGACACTGTGACTGTCAATCTGATAACCGAGATGGCTACTCCAAGATGGCTAGTAAGTGACAAATGGGCGAGGAGCATCTACAAGGTTGGGTGAGTCACAGGACGAAGCAGAATGGCAGCAAGTTCCATCCTGCTATTCAGAATGACTGTGCACAATTTAAAACTTATGAATTGGTCATTTCTGGAATTTTCCATTTAATGTTTTCATGCCATGGTTGACTGTGGCTCACTGAAATCATAGAAATTGAAACCGTGGATAAGAGGAGGCTACTGTATTCTCGGAGCCAGCCACACAGTGCTGTGGGTGGATAAAACACGCATGCCCCAGAACAGGTGTGCGTTCAGGCAGAAAGTCTTACCTACACCCCATGTGCCACAGATGTTTGTTCCTAAAATGCCACACAGATTTTTCACATAACTCCATCATTATTTTGCATATTTTTAGACTAACACCCTTTAACAGACATTTCTATACTTGTCTTTTATTTGACATACCAAATTCTTATTCATGACTTTAAAAAAATATTTGGATCACATGGGCTCAAATTAATACAACTAACAAGAAAATCAGTAAAGCATGTTACATAACTTACAGTAATTTATTAAATCAGTAGATCTGAGGGTTTTCTCAATGATGTCCAAGGGTCTGGCTTCACACAGGAATGTGACTAAACCAGCTAAGAAAAGTGATCATAGTTTATGATACCTTCCTTTGCAAGCACCAGAAATAAATCCAAGTCAAGCTGACATTAGTGAAAGAAAGTTGTGGGGGGATTTAGAGGTTCACTCACTGAAAAGGGTAGGCTTGAACTCAGGGCCTTGGAGGATACTCAGGATGTGGTCTCTCACTCGCCTGTGTCCAGGCTGTGACCATGTCGGGGGAGATGGCCACGCCTAGCTCTGGATTTTTAGCCGCTTACTTAGCCACTCCAGCACAGGCAGCTTCTCTTCCCAGAAGTCACAGGATTAATGTTCTTGGGTCTGAGTCCATCCCTAGAGCAATCATTGTGGCCAAGGGGATGGGAGATGGTGATTGGCCGGAGCTGGTGTCTGGATCCCCTCCTGAGCCAGGATTGGAGGCAAGGGATAAAGTGAGGTACTCTTAACAGAAGCAGGGAAGATGCGCTGGACTGGCTCAACCCACAGCTCTGGACCACATTTATCTATTTCCTATAAATTGATCAGAGTGCCAGTTCCTTCCTTGACTGTGTAGTTATCATAAATTTTTCCTTAAGTCACTCCTGATAGACTTTTTTGTATGTTTCAATATGATTCTTTTCTCAATTTACTACCTTAAGAAAAGTAACAATTTGCTATTTTCCATATTTAAATAATATTTTGGGTATTTGCATACATGGTTATTTAAAGCCATTTCCCAAATGTCATTGCTTAAATCATTATATATAATTTAAATATGTATGTATGTTTACACACACACACACACACACACACACACTATTATATATAAAGAAAACTTGCACAGAAACCTGAGCAGTTGAAAGTTGAGAGAAGGAGCTGGAATCTGTTGGGAAGTCATGTGACTGATTCCACCCACCTCACCGAGTCTGGTTTTCTGCCCCAGAGAGTTGTGTGAGTGTGTAACAGTCATAGCTGGTTTTGTGAACCTCTTCTATTTCAATCTCTTCGTCAAAATAGTGCTTATTTTTCAGAGGGGGGCAATGGATTGCAAGGAGACGCATTATGAAAGTTCGTGAGGGAACTGATACATTATTGTGTAAAGAGAAAGGTTAGATAGTCTGGCAGAATGAGGGTGACATGGAGAATCAGCAGTTGGCTATAATACTGAAGGGCTTGTTTGTAACAGAGGAAGCATATGTGGGTATCATTCCAACGGGGAGAATTGGAACAGGTGTGTGGGTGTGATAGGGTCAGGGAAGAACGTCCTACCTGGGTTTGTCTGGGCTCTTGAACTACATGACTTTCTCCTTGAATTTCCCTTCTATCCCCAAGACTCTGTGATGTCCAGTCAGGAGAGTGGCAGGTGGGAGGAAGAGTTCTAAGATTTATAATGAAATCAGGGGATCAAACTGTGGAACTCATTGCTTCAGGTCAGAGACCCTCAGTAAACCAGGAGTGGGTGATACCCCAGACAGAGGCCACAGCTCTGCTTTGCTCTGCAGGTTGACATCTTCAGTGGCTGAGCACAAGCGCGCAGTCAGGCCCAAGCGCCGGGTTCAGGCTTCCAAAAACCCCCTGAAAATGCTGGCAGCAAGAGATGACCTCCTCCAGGAATACACAGAGCAAAGACTCAACGTCGCCTTCATGGAGTCAAAGCGGATGAAAGTAGAGAAGAGTGAGTATTTGGAACTGCCGCCCTGCTTCTGTGCTTGGGAACTGGTGATGCAGTGACTTTAATCCTCCTTTTTCTGCCTTGCAAAGGCCACTAATAGTGCTCATAGGACATGCGTTAAATAAATATGAGTAAGTGTGCACACATACACACACCCCCCTCCAGAAAATCTGCCTGGAATCTAAAGGCTTTTCACAGAAATTCTTCTAGCCTCAAGCATCTGTTAGTTGGAAAATGCAAATTACCCTGATTTGCTGCATTTTCTTTTAAGAAGTTGGAGGAGAAGAATGTTTCTCCGCCTTGTAATTCAGCCCATTTTCAGCACAATAATTCACCACTAACTCTTATTCAAGAGGAAGTTATTTGATCTCTCAAGGGAAAATGTCCCAAATCACTGCTTTGCCTAATTCTCGATTTTTATATTATTAATTAATGCAAAAACCAGGGCTCTGCCAATTGTTTTGGATGGGACCCTCAGGCTCCTGGAAGTTGGGGTTGGGTTGGTGGAGTGGGGAGGTCAGGGCGGAGCAGGGAGAGGAGCATGAGGAGGTAGGCTCCCTGTGGGTGTCTGCCTCCTGGAGGCAAAGCTGCCCTGCTTTTACCTGTCCAGGAAGGTGGAGTTGCATAGTTTTGAAACAGAGGATTCCTTAGTGGGCGCAATGGCATACATAATCTTGCTGTTTTGAATATTCTTCCTATGATTTTTTCTTTTCCTGTACCATCCATAAACCTATTTCCTGAAGTTTTCCTTAGAATTATAGTATTTAGATGAAGTGATTGTTTTCGCAGTGTGACTGGTTTACTGAAAAAGTATATTTCAAAATCACTATGCCACTTGAATTGTCAAGGTGTGTTATATTTCTTCAGTGCTAGAACCTAATCCCCCAAAAAATCATTTTTCTGAACTTCTCTCCAACATATACATTTTTAAAAAACAATGAATTGGAGAAATAAAGGTTTATTGGAACAAGTTTTACATACTTTTTTGCCACGTCCACTTTTGGGGGTGCACAGAATGCCTCTGGTGACTGGCACATAGATGACTGCTGGTGCACGCCGGAGACTCAGCATCTTCTTATTACAGCCTTACACTGAGAGCAGAGAGCGGAGGACCTCAAGACATCAGCAACTTGTTTGCTTTGCCTCCTGAAAAAGATTAGAAGTAAACCATCCCTTGTGGAATGCCTGCTTTTCTACTTTTGATAGAAATAAAGGCTTTTGGTGAAAGACACCTAACAAGTCTTCCTTAAGAATGCATTTTCAACATCTCAGCATTGTTAGGAATTGTGACAGCTTTGAGTGGAATTGCAACAAATGAGTCTGGCTCCTGATTTTATACTAACATAGCTGTACCCCATTTTCACTCAAGTTTTGTCTCTACGTGGTGAGGTGTGACATTTGTCAAGAAGCAGTTTATACTTTACATGCAGTGTTGGAATTCTTAGTACAGTGGTTAGACACTGAACTGCACAGTTAATCAGACTTGAGTATGTGCTCCCCCTCTGCATTAACTTTAAAAGAAAAAGATAGTTCTGGTTGGTATGGCTCAGCTGGTTGGAGTGTCGTCCTGTAAACAGAAAGGTCACTGGTTCAATTCCCGGTCAGGTCACATGCCTTGGTTGTGAGTCCCATCCCGTCCCCAGTCGGGGCACATATGAGAGGCCACTGATCGATGTTTCTCTCTCACATTGATGTTTCTTGCCCTCTTGCTCTCCCTCCCTTACCCTCTCTCTAAAACTGATAAGCCTGTCTTCAGATATGGATAAAAAATAAAGAAAGATAGTCAGTTATGAATAATTTCTGATTGTAAACATTGTCATCTCGCCTGAACATCTTGCTTCTCCCTGTGTTTTTGTGTTTCTTTATTCCATCGCCCCAGTGTCCTCCAACTCCAACTTCTCAGAAGTCACCCTGGCAGGTTTAGCCAGTAAGGAGAACTTCAGCAACGTCAGCCTGCGGAGTGTCAACCTGACAGAACAGAACTCTAACAACAGCGCTGTGCCCTACAAGAAGCTGATGCTGCTGCAGATCAAAGGTATTTCAGAGCAGCAGAGAGGAGTTACACAGTGGCCAGGGGTTTCAGTTGGGCAGCATCAGGGGCCCTGACTGCCTTTAGCTGCCTGTCACAGGAGGGAACTCATACACTCTGAGGGCCTGCTGTGCACCAGGTGCTGAGCTACCTCCTCTCGGGTATTGTACACGCTGAGGCTTAAAGGGGTGAGTAATGTGCCTGAGGTCAGCCGCTTGAGCAGCATTGCCGATCTGAACCGAGGTCTCTCCCATTCAAGAAGCTCATCTGCAGCAGCTGCCTCCCCTTGCCCTGTGGCCTCCGCCATACACTGCCATGCAATGACCCAGGCCCCGTCAGTCGTCACAGTGTTCTCTCCACGCAGCTCCCCTCAGGGAGGCCAGGGGAGGCAGGCGCACCCTTGGAGGAAGAATCCAGGGGAAATGCAGCAGGTGAAGCAGACCAGACTTCCACTCCATCACCTTTTCTGTCCACAGCAAGGGACTGAGCTCTGGGCTGTCAGGACAGACTTGGCTGTGTCTGAGAGGCAACTGCTGGAGAGCCATCATCAGGAGAGGATGGATGAAATAGCCTGTCTGTCTGTGAGGATTTCCAGTGTGTTTCAGCATAACCACTGTCCTTCTCAGTGACAGGCTGAAACAGCCAACCTCTATGTAGTTTCCTAACCTGGAAACTATACCACCAATGTGACTGTAGGCAGATCCATCAGCAGTCACCTAGGAGAAGGTGTTGATTCCCCTCAGGACTCCCCTGTAGTTTCAAGCGAAGACTATTGAGGAAGCAGATGCAAAGGCGCAGCCTTGCTATGGCTGGCCATGGTCATTAAATGTAGGGTGTGGGCACGGTGGAGAGGAGGCCACTAGGAGATGAGGGAATGGGGGGAGGGAGCATGGGTGCCATCTTTCCTGCAGGAGGGAGCCCCAGCCGATGCATCCGTGTGCTGAAACAGGATGCCTGTCATGGGCCTAAGAACATGGCGACATGTGAGAAAGCATTGAAGGGAATGTAATAATCTGTGAGGCTGGCATTCTAAATCCCTCTCCACCCCTCCCAGTCATGGAAACTAGTATCAGTAGGCAAGACTCTTCAGAATTGAAAGGGAAACTTCAGATGGGGTACTTCCTTGTCCTTCCTATGGCTGGGGGAGTTCTTTCCGCAAAGTCGGTGACTCTTTGTCTCGTGTTCAGGAAGAAGACATGTGCAGACCAGACTGGTTGAGCCTCGCGCCTCGTCACTCAACAGTGGGGACTGCTTCCTCCTGCTCTCCCCCCATCACTGTTTCCTGTGGGTAGGAGAGTTTGCAAATGTCATCGAAAAGGCAAAGGTTGGTATCTGGAAAAAAAGAATAGTTTAGCTAAGCATCTCCTTTATACACTAATAGAATGTTCTACCAGTTGCCATGTGATTACAAAGCTTCCTAAGTGCCTGATGCCCATTCGAGTGAGATGGGATAGACATTTCCCTGGGTGTCTCTGAAACAAGTTGTCATTAGGTACTTAAGTGTGACATTTTAAAGGGATTATGACCTATCACTCTAGGTTTTAAGTCCTTCCTTTGTTCTCACTCTTGTATAAGAAAGGAACTAGCACATCACTTCAAAGTTGCTTATCCCAGGTACCTATGAAATTCTTCTACAGACTTTGAATGAGGATCTCATGGGAGAAAGCCCAGAGAACAGGTAGTGTTTAAAATTCACATGATCTGTTGAATTTGAAGTTTGAGAACTGTGGTTCTAAAGAATTGATAACCTGGTTGTTCAGTTACATTTTCTTGACTGTGTTGAAAATACCCAACCACCAGTGTGTGAGGCTCCCTTGGCCACAGGTCTGCCTTTCAGACACTCACCATTTCTGGTCTTGGACCTCAGCGGGGGCCACCCTGGCTAGCCACAGGCTTGTCTCCCCAAGTAATTGCATCCCTTTCTTTTCTCAGGCCTCAGAACTTGCAACTTTAATTCAGACAAAGAGGGAACTTGGTTGTAGAGCTACTTATATCCAAACTATTGAAGAAGGAATTAATACACACACTCATGCAGCCAAAGATTTTTGGAAGCTTCTGGGTGGCCAAACCAGTTACCAATGTAAGAGTTTACTGTATTTCAGAGAATGACAAGACTCAAATATCTTTTCTTCTCCCCTAGTTCATTCTTCTAAGCCAGCCCCATTTCAGCGCCTAATGTGATACTCTCTTATTTTTCGTGTCCCAAAGCTGCTGGAGACCCAAAAGAAGACGAACTGTATGAAACAGCTATAATAGAAACAAATTGCACTTACCGTCTGATGGATGACAAGCTTGTTCCCGATGACGACTTCTGGGGGAAAATCCCGAAGTGCTCCCTTCTGCAGTCAAAAGAGGTACAGTGAGTGGGTGAAGCTCTCTGCACAGGGTGGCCCAATAAAATAGATAATAAAACGCCCCATAAATGCTAGTTGGTGACATCATAGACTGGGGGCACCTTTTGAAAAGACATTCATTTGTGATTTCAAACCCTTACTGCCATCTTAAGTACTAATACAGAATTTAGAATATTGTTCAAAGGAGGTTCAATAAATCATTGAAGGCTTTTTTCTATTTTAGGCAAAATGTGTGTATCAGTCTTATCTCTTGATTTTTGTATAAATATTAAATATTTTTCAGTCCTTAAGTTTCAAGACTAATAGATCCATATAATTTCTTTTATATGCCTTTTTTCTCTCACACCACTAAATATTTATTAAATACATATATTTCTAGTACCATTAACTATTCTAAGTGTTGAGAAAAAAAATGAAAGACACAAAATTTCATTGAATGGAAGAGTATCATAAAGAATGTAATCCGAAGCCAAGTTGATTGTATAATATATATGGGTATTTAAATTTTTAAAAATTCACAGAAAAAGAAATAATCAGAAACAATTGTAGACAGGAAGTGAAATTGAGCCTCGTTTAAAATTAAGTAGAATTTGGATTACTAGAAATGAAGGAAGAAATTATTCTAGGAAGAAAGGGTAGAACAAACCATGGGCACAGAAATAATGGATAGTGCCACACTTATGTATTCATTCAGCAAACCGTAAACCCCACTGTAAATGTAAGTAAGGTATGGTCTCTGCCCTTGAGGGCCTTGGAATTGTATAGAGGAGAGATGACATCCCTTGGTCCTCTGTGCCTCACAGGTATAAAGTGGCCTGTAAATGCTAAGTGAATGAATGAGTGAGTGAGTGAATGAATGAACGCAGGGAGAAAAGAAGGGAGGGAGGGAAGAGAAAGGAAGGTTGAGAGGAAGACATCCTTAACTCTTTGATGAATCAGAACTTTTAGGTGGTTTCAGTGTTCAGGGGAGGGATCATTAACTTGGGCATTTGGGACAATAAGACAGTATCCTACCCAGGGGTTAGAGGCTGCCTAGACATTGCCAGCTGGTCAGATCTTGTTATCTTTTCCTGTCTGTGTTGATTGCTCCATCCGGGTTTGTATCATTGCCCATTTGACTCACTGCCAGCAGGGACCCTGATTCAACTGGAGCTTGTCCTTGAAGTTAATAAATTCTTCTGTGCCATTCTCCCAGGTACTGGTGTTTGATTTTGGTAGTGAAGTTTACGTATGGCATGGCAAAGAAGTTACATTGGCACAACGGAAAATAGCATTTCAGCTGGCAAAGCACTTATGGAATGGAACCTTTGACTATGAGAACTGTGACATTAACCCACTGGATCCTGGAGAATGCAACCCGCTTATTCCCAGGTAGTGCTGTGACCTTGGATGACATTGTAGATCGAGCAGATCCCTCCGGGGCCCCAGTTCTTGCCCTGTCGTCTATTGTTGCTCTTCATAGGTTTTTGTTTTCATAAATGAGTGCAATGCAGTACCATGAATATTCACAAAAGAACATTTATGTGGCTTTCACCTAGCTAGTACAGGAATATGGATGTTGTCGTCTTCTGGAAGATGTGTGTTATATTTCATTTCTTGAGTGAACAAATTATTCTTACCTGCGGCATGCCAGGTGCTATTATGACAGGCCAAGAGCAAATGTTTTAAAAAATTGCATGTTGATCTCAAAAATTCCCAGGCTCTGGAATCCAGCCATTGATACAAAGATGCAAAAGCAACGTGTTTCCTTCTAACTCCTCACTTCCCCAGCATAGCCCGTGAATCCCAGAGTTTATCATTTATTTTGCAGTAGGTGATGTTTATGCCTTTCCTTGGAAGGAGGAGAGAAAATATGCCATTAAAATTATTGTTTTAATTTTAATATTTTATACAGTGTATTGGAGTTTTTAAACTAATTTTGGCAAATCATAAGGATATGCACAAACTCTAGTAAATATGATCAATCATCAGAAGAACAATTCTTTATGCAAAGGGATTGTTCTTTTTCTTAACAACCAGAGTAAAAGAAGTGTTTTTAAATTACGTTTGCCACATACTAGGTTAGAAATAGGTGTACCACCAGATAGCATAGAATATTAGGTATCATACAGCTGCATTTTAATGGTTTCCACTGAACTAGTATACAAATTTCAACTTTCCTACCTAGTTTCCTGTTTTAAAATCAAATTACTGATTTTTATTATTATCAAATAAAAACAATTAAAAATTTTGTCCATAGAGGTGAAATGTTTTCAAATTCTTTTTAGACAAGTGCCCTAATATTAGTACTGAAATAACCAGCATTTTACTGATGGAAGCTAAGGCTAAAAAAGATATTTTATTTGGTATAATAAATGAAAAAAATAATTCTGAAGCATAAAGTCCATATAAGGGACAATTCCTGCTTAGCAGTGACATTATCACAGATCTACAAGTAGATGTCTTCAACATCTCCCAGATCAGATTCAGCTGAGGAGTTTTCAAAAATGTACGTGCCAGGCCCAGCCTCAGAGAAGTGTTTTCAGCTCATGTGAGGTGAGGCTTATGTGCCAGTATGTCTTAAAAGCTCTCCAGAAATTTTAAGGTGCAGCCAAGATGAAGCATCCAGCACTTCTGAAGAAATAAGGAGGCTGAAACCACTGAGGTTCTATGACTTACCCCAGCTGGACCGTGCGTGTCGGGACAGGGACGGCACACTTGCCTCTGCTCCTGTCCCCACCCTCACACGGAGGCTGGCCTTCTCTTGTGTTCATGCAACCTCACAACTTAAAAGATACATTTCTAAAGCTGAAACCAAGGACATTTTCTACAGGTACCTTAGCAAGTCTACAGAGTCAAATGTATATAAAAGATAGTCATTCAGACATTTCTAGTGAAGACCACAGCCTTTTAAGGGAGTCCTGCATCTTCCATAGTTGCTGATACTCCCTTCCTTAAGACCCCCGGGAGCAGGAGGCAGCAGTATTTGTACCCTGTCTCAGTCTCCTTTGGCACAGGCAGGCTACTCATTGTGCATTAGCTGTGATACTAGAATTGACAACCAAGGATTTATTTTGAAGGATGAGAAATGCCTGCACCTTCTTCTCAGGGCTGGGCCCTCTAGAGCATGTATTTTCTCAGCTATATGGGCATACCTTGTTTTATTGTGCTTCACAGATAGTGAGTTTTTTTACACATTGAAAGCAGGACCCTCCCATAGCAAAAAACTAGCCTTGTTACTCTTGTGGTGGCCTGGAACCAACCTGCAGTGGCTCTGAGGTGTGCCTGGACCTTTTTCTCAGTCACCTTTGGTTTCAAGCACGGTTCACATTCTGAGGTCCTGAGGCAGGACCAGACCCCCAGCTTGGGCTGTGTCACTTCCTTCCTGCGTCCTTGTGCTCTCCCTGCCTATTGCTGAGTCCATGGGCCTAGAGATAAACATGCAAACATTTACTTCATGACACGTGAAAGTATGTTCAGGTTAGTAACAGGAGAATAGACTGGAGAGTTTTGTTCTAACATGACTTGATAGAGTTTAGGGTGAACTCTCATCTGTTCAACTTGACAGAAACTTGGAGAGCACAAAGGGGCCTGAAGGGGGCAAGGAAGACACTCACGAGACCCCTGCCTCCCCCACTCCCAGCCTAGCACGCCACCCCCAGGCTATCCCAAATGCAAGAATTTGCTAGAATACAAGAAAAATCAGTCCTGACATGGTTCGCTTGTCAGTTCCATGGACACAAAGCTTTACAAGGCTTCAGGCTAAAATAATAAAATGTCACTTAATTGGTAAAGTAAGTAAGAATAAACCATTCATTCTGTATACTACTTGTGTATTCTGAGGCCTTTTTCCAATACCACATGTGTTTATTTTCTGTTTCTTTCCTTTGTTCTATCATGGCTTAATCTTGGTTCTTTTCCTGTCTGCACCCCCACCCACCCATCTGCAGAAAAGGACAGGGGCGGCCTGATTGGGCAATATTTGGGAGACTTACAGAACACAATGAGACTATTTTGTTCAAAGAGAAATTTCTCGATTGGACCGAACTGAAGAGACCTAATGAGAAAAACGCCAGTGAACTCATCCAGCAGAAGGTATTCCGAGTAGCCGGGCCTCAGACCTCAGGGCTTGGTTTGGGTCCCAACAAAAGAGACCTGAACTCTAAAAGCCCTTCCGGGGTTTACTAGTAGTCCAGCAAACCAGTTTCCAATTATATTCCAACCCTAAGAGTGAAAATAGTTCCCTTTGGGTTTATGGGCATCCTGTTCACTATGGTGGGGTGGGTATTCAGGCCTCTGAAGTCTTTCCCATAAATGCGGTCTCTCCCTAATGCAGTCCAACGCCCTTGGAGTGTGAAAGCTCTGCTCTAACGCTGTCCCACTAACAGCGAAACAGCACGGTGAGAAGAAACGGCTGGAGAAACAGGGAACCAAACAGGCGCTTTTATGTTTCTTTGTAGGAGGATCCTAGGGCCGAAGTCAAGCCGTACGATGTGACCCGGATGGTGCCAGTGCCCCAGACGACAGCTGGCACTGTGCTGGACGGGGTGAACGTGGGCCGTGGCTATGGCCTGGTGGAGGGGGACGACAGGAGGCAGTTTGAGATAGCCAGCGTCTCTGTGGACGTCTGGCATATCCTTGAATTCGACTACAGCAGGCTCCCCAAACAGAGCATTGGGCAGTTCCATGAAGGGGACGCCTATGTGGTCAAGTGGAAGTACATGGTGAGCACTGCAGGTTAGTGACTCACGTTTTCTTCACACTGAGCCGGGCCCAGCCCCAGTTTTGAGGCTGGCACCGCAGGGCTGCTGGAGCCGGGCTCCCTGGGCGCCCCCTCACCCTGGCTGTGGGGGGGCAGTTGCACTGGCATACTCGTTTGCTTTGAGAACCACTTAGGAAACCTACAGGTGAACTCCTAGCAACCCAGTATTGCTAATGTCTGGGATGTGACCTCATAGAAATTAAACTCACATGTTAAGTTTTCTCCAGGACCCTCATTCCCCTCCTTACCCTATCCCCAGATGTTTTCTAGGAAAGTGGCAATTTGCCTCCAGATGATACTTGCCATGTGGCTGGATGCTGTTTAAATTAAAGTCGTTAAGTAAAGCATATCTGAATGATTTAGAACTGAAACCAAATGGTGTAGTAACATTACTGCAAATACATGCACGAAAAAATGTATTAAAAGTGAAAGAAGCTATTCCCTATGAGGCTGAGAACCCAGCAGCGCTTTGTAAATCTGGTAGAATAAATACATAGCCAAGCTCCTAATAGCCCCATCAGAGAAATACTCTTTCTAGCAAAACACTCAGCTGTGTGCTTTGCAGCAGGGACAAAAAGCAAGGACAGCGAGTGAACTTTGGAGAGAGAATCCCTTTTCTTTGCCAAAAAATAGCCGTTATCCATGCTATGCACAGTGTCCATCACCCCAACCCATTTAGCAGAGAGTGTATGTCACAGCTCTGCAAACTGGAGATCCATCTCCAAAAGACTTGATTCACCTCCTGACAGTCCCCTTGCCCTCCAGGTGGTTTGCTGATCAAACACCTGCAGACTTAGAACCATTTGATTTCCTTCCTAATTTATCAAAAATAAATCCTTTAATCAACTGGACAGCATTTACTGTGCATTAGAGACTTTTTATCAGAAGCAAGTAAATATTTCAGATCCGGCCTTCATGAAGCACATGATGTACATGACAATGAGGCACCGACAGGGAGAGGCACCCACTTCGTGCTGAGGAAGGAGGGCTCGATCCCCTGAGACGGCGTCTGCCACAGCGGGAAAGCGGAGCAGGAGGGCTGTCTGGGGTTGTGCCCAGGACTGGGCGCAGGCCCTGAGGGCCACCACAAGGAACAGACTAGGGGCTCTACCTCAGGCTCTAGCTGCGTGTCTTCCCAGAGAATTCATGAAGTGTGTTCTGTCCGTATGCTCATTGTTCAGACAAGGAAAAAGACACCAAGATGAAGTATCTTCTTTGAAGTCACACAGCTGGTGAAGAGCAGATCTGGGCACTGAAACCATTTTCCCTTTCATAAGGAGGTCCTGTCACTTAGAGGGAAGTTCACAGGCCCTGGGGCCATGTGGCCTGGGTCTGAGTCTTCTCTCAGGCCCTCCATACCAGCTCAGTGAGTTGGGTAAAGTTACCTAACCTCTCTGGGCCTCATTTGTCTCACCTGGAAAATAGAGATTATAATACCCAGTGCACAGAATAGGCTAATATTATAATGTTTGGCATGTGCCTTTTGCCTTGCACGTGTTCACATGGTAGGTACAGGAAACAGTCGTCATCGAAGTCTCAGGAGTGACAGCATAATTACTACATTTGACTTGAAGATGAGATAATGTGGATTTATCCAAAACAATAGCAGCTCCCTCGAGTCACTGTTGTAGGTTTAAGCTCCTTGATGTGACGCAGAATTGGCAAACTGAAGTAATAATCTGTGTTACTGGTTGGCCATAAAAACAAGAACAGGGAATTTAGTGGGGAAAAAACTACTACTAACCTTTGGGTTGTGAAACAGGGAACTTCCAGGAACAACCTTTGAAGATGTACATAGTTTTTGTTCTTAAAAAACACTTGGAACTACATGTTTTATAAAAGGAGACCAAGGGGTTGTACAGTATGAAATCAAGTCTTTTCCTTACCGTAGCTGTCAGTTATAAAAAAGAAGGAACAGCAAGTGAATGAATGCATGAAATGAAATTTAAATGAATTAGCAGATAAATCTAAGGTTTGAGGTCTTCATAGACTACTTACATAGAGACCCCTAAGAAATAATGATTTGAATCAGGCAGACACTTTCTGTATTTCTTCCCAATAGAAATGTGTTTCATCTCACAGCGAGATCCAGTAGTGTCTTTATGAGCAGAGTTATAACTTTGAAGAAGTCCAGCTTCAGAGAATTAAGTTAGAGTGAGGAGCATTCAGATTCTAGACCGCCCTATGGGAGCAGAAAAGTACGGAACACTGGCATTTGCAGTTATGCCGTGGTCCTCATGGAAGCACTGGTCCCTTGGCAACTGCTAGCCCAGCGCCTCCTCACTCACACCCAGCTAGGCCAGCAGCTGCACACAGGACTGAACTGGGAGCTCAGGATGTGCTGGGACAGGCTCAGCAGGAAGCAGCAACCCTAGAGGCGGTACTGTCATCTTTGCGGTTTACGCCAGCTGCCCTGCACAGGCACACAGACAGGCTAGCCCCTGGGGCTCCACAAAAGGGAGACTAGAAGACTTGGTGGGATGGTGTCCTGCCCTAGTGACCGCCTCAGGGGCTACAGTGCCTCTGAACCCCTGAAGGTCTGGAAACAAGCTGCCTGAGGTACCCAAAGGTGCTAGCTCAGGCCACCCTGGAGCATGACAAAGGTCAAGTTCCGCTGGGCAGGCCATCGGTAAATGGGGTTCTGCGTCTGACCACCTGACCATGAGCAGTTCTTCATACTTCGGTTTTCTATTACCCCTAATCACAACTGCTGCGAACAAACTTACTCTTCAAAGTATTTTGATGGCATCAACACTTTATATTAGGCATTTGGTCAGGCTATAATAATTATAGTCCAGAAGTTCTTACTAATAAAAGCTCAATCTTTACTTTGCTAAAAATAAATAAATGAGTTAAAAATTAAGCTATAGGTAGGATTGCATTGGGGTATGATGAAGAAAATTGCAAAAAAAAAAAAGTGAAAAGTGTGTTTAATGAAATATTTTTTTAAAAAATACAATTCTATTTTAGGTAGATACACTCAAGTCCATTTTAGAATGTTAGAATATAAAACAGTGGTTATAAAGCATGGCTACATATTTACACTATGTATTTAGGTGCTAATAAATCCCAAGATAGGTGTCGACTACTGTGATCTATTTTAAACATACCTTTTCCCAATAATCTAGTTAACACAACTAAATTTCCCTCCATTGAAGATTGCTAATCAAAAGCAAACATTTGTTCCTATCTAAATCAGCATAAGTTTCAATCAAGTAGCTTCCAAATTAATTGTGGATGCCTATAATCTGTTCATTGGTGGTTGCTATCTTACTTTGCTCACACAAAAACTCACAGACCTGACCAGTTCAAGTGTAGAGTAGATGATACTAAAGACCATGCTGACTCAAAATACTTTATGAATTAGAATCATTTATGGAAACTGTTATAGAGCACTTTGCTAACAGCCCCCCCCCCAAAAAAAACCAAATAAACAAATAAATATGACTTCTGACCTCTTGAGAACTTAAATAAGCTTTCTTCGTCCCTTCAGACCTCAAGACAACTGTGATTTGGTCCACGGGATCACAGTGGAGAAAAACTGAAGTAATATAGAACAGAGAGTCCAGTTGTTATTGTTAATTTATAAGGTGCATGGTAGGTGTTGAAAACACCTGCATCCTTCCATTGTTGACCCTCACTTGCTGGGCCACTAGGCATTTGAGCCCAGAGCTTGGTCTCCTGACCTTATTCAGGCCTCCACTCAGCCACCTCTGCAGAGGGTCTTCCTCCCACAGGCAGTGCCATGAGGACTCACCATGCCCCTGCCCGTTTTCCACATCACTACCGCTGTCTCCAAAGCATCTTCCTCATCTATTTGTTTATTAGAACAAAAGCAGGGAAGTTGTCTGTCCTACTCACCCTTGTAGCCCCAGTATCTTAAAGAGTTCCCTGGAGCATAGTAGGTGCTCAGTAAATATTTGTTGAACAAATGTACAAGAGGAGTTTGAGGTGACATCTATTCCTAAAGGAAGCAATTTTGAGGTCTGAAATACTGTCTAAATTGACCACTTGACCAATTAACTTTCCGTGACTGGTCTTCAGTGAGATCGGGCTTCTGTGGGCTGATAATATGTCTCGAATGTCTGCAAGGTGCCAGACAGTAAGAACAACCAGCACTTAATCCTGGCTACAGCCCTGGCGACAGATATTATTTAAATCCCAGATTATTTTATGAAAGTGATACGTCAGCAATTCATCTCATCCATTTCTGACAGAACTTTGAGGCTGCAAAGTATGTTTTTTTTTTAATAGAATAGTTTTAGCAGACTAAAATTTTTCCTCTGTGCTTAAAGCTGGCCCAGCTGTTGTTTTCCATATCTTTTCTCCACCAGCTAATCTTTGCCAGAGAGTGGTATAATATGGAAAATGCATTTGTGTCTTCGGGAGCCGTGGGTCCTGCTCTCTGGCAGTCACCACTTTCTCGGTCACATTCGGTGTGTCTGTTGCCTTCCTCTAGGATGACAGGTGTTGTCTTAGGGTATCAGGAGGTCCCTTCAGATCACTTCTCACCTGCTTGGAGTTTCAGGATCAGTTAGCTGGAAGAAGGTGGTTTTTCTCTTGTCCCGTGGTATGATTCACTTTCCCTCCAGCGATGAATGATTTCTCCCCAGCCCTGTTGCCCAAAAGTTGTTTCTTTCCTGTTTGTCCTCAGAGAGCCTGAGGAGAGAGCCGTGAACTTGCTCTTCCTTTGTCTTATCCGCCACTCACGGGCCCTCGCTGTTGTGTGTGTTTGCAGTGGGGAGCCGCCAGAAGGGCGAGCACGCCGTGAGGGTGGCCGGCAAAGAGAGATGCGTCTACTTCTTCTGGCAAGGCCGGCAGTCGACCGTCAGCGAGAAGGGCACATCGGCTCTGATGACAGTGGAGCTGGACGAAGAAAGGGGAGCCCAGGTAGGTCCTGCAGAGTGCTGCACCGGAAAGGAGAGAGATATCCTCTCAGGAAACCCCAGCGTGTATCCTGGTCCCCAAAGGACCCGGTTCTAATGAACAGAGACAACTCACTCACTGGACTTTTAGTCCTGGTGACGCTTCTCCAGACTTCGGGCTGCGCCTCACTTTTCTCCCCGTCCCACCCCTCCACCACTCAGCCAGGAAGGCCCACCTGTTGTAACATGATCTTCAACAACATGTTTTATCTGCAAATAACAAACCCACAAAACAAGGACAGAGAGCCAGTGGGTGTTTTTTAAAAGTTTCCACTCAACTAATCATCAAGGAATTGCAAATAAAACAAAGAGGTGCTCTTTTCCACTTTTAAACTTGGTGGGGGTTTGGATAAAGACTGGACGCCCGGCTGGCAAGGGCTCCGTGGGATGAGGGCCCTTGCGTGCTGCCGATGGAAGTGTAACTTGAAACAGCCATCCTGAAAAACAGCTTTGGCTCAAGAACCTTAAAATGCTCATAAACTTTGATCAGTTATTCCACTTACCCAAATATACCCTAAGGAAATATCAGAGATTAATGTAAAAATCTGTATTTCCAACATCTGCATTCCTCAGAGCAGCCCCCGAGTGATTTTTTCCAGAACAGGCCAGATCACGTTCCCCCCCTTGCTGTCCCCACACTTGGCCTACAATCTCAGCAGCCTCCCCGCGCTCCCCCGGCACGGCACAGTCAGCCCAGCACAGCTCCCCAGCCTTCCCTGTTCTTGCACAGGCCCCCGGCTGCTCCAGGCTTCTTGCTCTTCCTCAGACACACCGCTTTGCACCGTTCCCACTGTGTGAAGCACTCCCCTGGGTCTGTGTGAAACTCTTACCCCGAATGATTCTGGTTTATTTTCCAATGCGTTATTTTTTTTTCATAGCATTTCCCACGAAGTAAAACTAAAACTACATGGTCATTTTGTTTACTTATTTATTACCTGTCTTCCCTCACAAACATGAAGGAGACCTTGCCTGTCCTGCTCTTCATCACCGTAACAGCCCCAGAGCCAGTGTAATAATGGGCAGATACTACTAACCACAACCAATGTTTTGCAAACATTGCTTTTAGTGTTCAGGTTGTCTGTGCCTCAGATTCCATCCTTCAGTACCAGTAATCGAGAGCTGACCCTGGGGTTTTTGGGTATGGAACACGACACCATGTGCAGCTCTTTTTACTATCTTGGATGAATAGTTAACAATAGCAGGAGGGAAGAGAACAGAGGAATTTTCTCGGGAAACAGAGCAACACTCCTTAGACTTCCTGTCCTCTTGACTAAGACCCAGTCCTCTTCTACTATGGACTGTATTTCCCAATAGCTGTTAGTGACCATAGCATTTTCACTTATGCCTGATAGTGAGTCATTTCAATGTCTTTTTTTGTTTGTTTGTTTTCTCTTTTCTATGTGTGTGTGTGTGTGTGCGTGTGTGTGTGAGGGCCATGAATGAATGCCCTCAAAATCATCTTTAGAGTGTTGAGTCTTAATCTCTCTAGTCGAAGCATTTCATTTTTTGTCACTCCAACAGATGGAATATCACTTCATGCATATAAAACACTGCCGCAAAATGGCACTTAATTATGCAAAATGGGCCCTGAGATTGATAAACTAACTCATGGTGAGAAATGTGCTCCCCGACTTCCAGCCTCAATAAACAATTAATTTCCTCTTGAAGGGAAAATGTCTTGCCGAAGTGAGAGTGAGTTGACTCACCCGGAACGTTATGCTGGAGCAGCTAACACCTGATGGAAGAGAGCGCGTCAGCCACTAGGGCCGCCCACGGTTGGTGGGCACAGGCTCTGTGATTAGCCTCTGGGAAAGTCTACAAAAGAGGCAGTTCTTCCCCCCCAGACTTACTCAGTGATTAGTCATTCTCATTGCTCAGAGGTATACTTTGTTAAAAATGTGTTTAAATCAATCAAGTTACATCTGTACCAGGAAATACCATTTAAATATCAAAATCCACGTTTTAAAAAAATGTTCGATAACAAACTTCAAGTGAAAAAAATCAGTGTAGAAAGCAACACAAAACAATCATCCTTTTTTTTTTAAAGAAATATACCTGAAAAATACTTTGAAAGGAGAGCTATATGCTTGAATTTTAATATTATCTTTAGATAATAGTACTGTCTCTGGCTCTTGCTTGTGTTTCTTGACATGTTTTCAGGTTTTCTGCAAGAGGGGCTATAGTTTGTATGCCTGTGGAAAACCAGTGCAGGTTACTTATGTTAATGTGTTTACCTTGGAAGGTCCAGGTCCTCCAGGGCAAGGAACCCCCCTGTTTCCTGCAGTGTTTCCAGGGGGGGATGGTGGTACACTCCGGCAGACGGGAAGAGGAGGAAGAAAATGCGCAAAGTGAGTCACTTTTACTGGTAGAGTTAGATTTTTTGTTCCGCTCGTGGAAGGTATTTTTATAGGCGTGGGGGCTATTAAGTCTCTCTTCATATGGCTGTGGCTTTCCCACTGAAAGCCTTCTAATGCCTGACTCATAAAGCAGCTTTTTGGGGATCTCATAATCCCCTCTCCTGTGGAACGGGCCCGGGATCCAGCATTGCATGCTGGAGGCTGGAAGATTACTTCACCTTAAACGGAATCCTCACAGCGACTCTGTCTCTTTTTAGGAGGGTTGGCGGGGGGGGGGGGGGGGGGGGAACTCCAGTGGATCTTCTATTATAAATTCTGAAATTTTTATTGGCCAGAACCAAAAACAAAAAGACCTTAGCTTTAGAGGTCTTTAAAATATGCCTGTTCTATGACTTACCTAGGCATTTATAAATTTGTGAAAATGATTTCTCTGCTTCATGGACCGGGCACCCTGGCTCCTAACTCCGAAAGGATTTGTGTTCAGGCGGGCAGCGAGATGGCCGCGGGGCTCAGGCTCCGCCTCCCCTTCAGGGTGAGGAAGGGTGTGTGCGGCTGACTGCTGAGCAGGGATCCCAGGGCCGGTCTCCCCTCTTCCGCGGAGCGCACCTCCTAACCCTGTGCCGCTGGTGCCCCCTGCAGGCGAGTGGAGGCTGTACTGTGTGCGAGGAGAAGTGCCCATGGAAGGAAATTTGCTGGAAGTGGCCTGCCACTGTAGCAGTTTGAGGTCCAGGACGTCCATGGTTGTCCTCAACGTAAACAAAGCCCTCATTTACCTGTGGCACGGATGCAAAGCCCAAGCCCACACGAAGGAGGTTGGAAGGACTGCAGCAAATAAAATCAAAGAACAGTGAGTGTTGCGGGTGTGAGGGCTTCTTCTGGAAGAGCTGCCTGTAGGGGGTGAGGGCTAAGGCCAGAGGGTGCCCAGGGTTCCGAGTGGACGCCCGGGTGTGCTGACAGTGACTTCACCAAGGCTACTTATGACCATTGTCGGGGCCTCTGACGTTCCAGGTAGACCTGACACATCTCAGCCAAAACTCCAGCTTGAGGGCTTCTCCCGCTCATAAAAAGCAGAGTGAAGAGCAAGGGAAGGGACCCCAACAAGTACTTTAATTTTTGCATAGATGTGACTCAGCTGTTGAATTATGAGCCTAACGTCCTTTGTTACTTAAACAGCAAATTTCAAATACCTTCTAGAAGTTCAGAGTTTTAATGTTGTCAGAACAGTAGAATGTTAAAAAGAATTTAGCTAATAAAGACCGCACAATTTAAGATGTCCCTTCTTTAGATAAGGACCGCGTTTTTGCGTTCTCGAAGGCAGCCCCCTGACAGTGAGTTATTGGCTCGCTGGGGCAGTTCTCAGACACAGCGCAGCGGGGTGGGGTTTTGTTCCCGTCCCAGCAGGCACCGCCATGGGCCACGTCCACAGAGAAAACGCACCGGGCTGCAGCGCAAAGTGGGGCCCTCGGGAGCGGGCCGCACCAGCTGCTCACCTGCCTACAGTCAGGCTGCAGCCGGGCCCCGCTTCCTAGCAGCTTGTGCCACACGAGCACTGCCGGCAGCCAAAGAAATCCCAGGGCCCTGGTCATTTAGGAGGAGCCCAGCATTTCCTCAGCAAGAACTGGGAGGACCTTGGTAACATCTGTACAGTCAAAATGAGGAGTTTCCCAGGGCCACCATGCACCACCAAAGGGCAGTTCGGTGAAATCCATTCTCTGGGTATCAAGACAGTGCCTTGCGGGCCTGCTTTCCCTGTGACTGCTCCAAACCCGACCGCCACACGGAGAGAGCAGACAGGAGAAGGAAGGCAAGTGACCCTTCAACACGCAGGCAGCTGGGAAGCCAGATCTTCCATCACAAACACTGTCCCGAGGGGAGGCAGTGGGGAGGGATGATAAATGATGTTCCCTGAGACATCCGAAGACATTCACGGCCCATCGGATTTGTTACTTGGACCCCTGAGAAAAAAACAAAACGACAAAGCATTCATTCGTTCATTCAACAGAAATTCTTGAGCACCTCGTTGGTGCCACGCACAGATTTGGGGACTAGGGGCTTGCCAGTGAGTTTATGTTCCAGCAGGAGAGGACCAGGAATAGTAAATATGAACATTGTATATAGAAATGTATATCATGGCCATTACATATTATAAGTATTGTACATTGCTCTCTAAGGGCAAAGGCAACACCTGCCCCACAGAGCATGTTGTTATTCATTAGCAGGAATTGTTTTAGTTAAAAAGTAGAAGAGAGATGGTGAAGTCACCTGCAGATTCAGCCTTGAATAATTGTGTGCTGTCAGCACTTCCAAAGCCTAACAAGAAGGACTGGTGCCCACGCAGGTGCCCCCTGGAAGCAGGACTGCATAGCAGCAGCAAAGTGACCATACACGAGTGTGACGAAGGCTCCGAGCCCCTGGGGTTCTGGGACGCGCTGGGAAGGAGAGACAGGAAAGCCTACGACTGCATGCTCCAGGGTAAGTCCACATTCCATAGCCTCTGCTCACTCATTCATTCGAGGCAAATTTGTTGAGCCCCTACTATGTACAACACACAATGAATTAAACCTAGGCTAGGTCCTCTTGGGCCTACGACCCAATAAGGCTACATAATATGTATGACTAATTATAATGCCAAGTAAAAAATTTATAGGTTGTGAAAGAGGTGCAGGTGAAGGAGGTTGAGAGTTAAAAAGAAAAAAATTACTTCCATGAGGAAAAATCACACCCAGGTCCACAGAGACAAGGCAGAGACAGGGAGCAATTTACATGGATGTAGGGATGATCTGAGAGAAGGGAGGAAGAGAAGAAGATTCCAGGACACCAGATGAGCAACAGCACAGTGCAAGCCTAATGCGGAACAGGATGTTTTCAGTGTGGCCAGCTTCCTGGATGCAGGCAAGGAGTGGAGTTTCCCTTAGAGAGTGTATCAGTTTGTATTTAAATGCACAACATACGAAATGTATAAAGATCAACTTAAAGGCATAACAGAAAAAGAAAAGCTAACAATTATTAAGCAGTTAGGATGATTCAGGCACTAAGCATGTGAAAGACATTAACTCATTAAATTCTTGCAATCCAGCAAACACTCAACCACTTCTACTGCTGATGAATCGGTTGGACAACAATGAATTTACATATAATCCCTGAATTATACCACCTCTCAATTTTTATAAATTGTTATATATGATGGAGACTGTTTAAAAATACAGAGGGGTTAAAAAAGAAAATACATCACTTATAATCATACCTCTCATAGATAAGCAGAACTGACATTTCTCTATGTCATATATATATTTTTTTAAATAAAATTTGGATAGCATTATACATATTGTTTTGTAACCTGGTTTTTTCTTTTAATTTGTTATGCACAACTTCCCAAGTTGTTACTATTTAGACTTTAATGGCTGTAGGGTATTCCATGAATATTCTATAATACATGACAGTACCTATTTAATCTGGCTCTAATAGTTGAAGGCATGAGTTGTTTCCTTTTTTTGGCAACTGTATAATGATACAGGTGTGAATAATCTTTAAAGTAATGATCTGCATCCATTCCTAGTTAATGTAAATCCCTAGATATGGAACTGCTGTGTTCAACTAATAAAAATCTTATAATTAATATCCGAGTCACCACGTGTGTTATCAGAATGTTGGCACAAGGCTCATCCTTGCCAGCAGAATACGAAGGTGTGCGTTTCCCAGCACAGTTACGGACTCAGTGCATCACCTTTCCCACCTTTGCCAACATTGCTGGGGGGAAATACTATCTAAGCACTGTTCTCAATGAATGTCTTAAAATTACGAGTACTATTAAATGCTTTCTTCATTAATTTTTTAGGCATTTGAATTTCTACTTTGATGGATGTTTTATTGGTGCTTTTTTGCACATTTTTTATTGAGATATTTAACTTTGCACTATATTCCTTGGTGTACCAGGGATAGTAGCAAGTTTCCTTATTTCCCATTTTTTCACTTACCTTGTCATTTTCTTTGTTGGCGTGGCAATTTTTTGCCATGTAATTTTTATTTTTATGTTGTCAATATGTAAAGCTCTTCTCCTTTGGTTACTTCTTTTGCAATTACAATTAAAGAGGACTTCCCTGCCTCCAAGTTCAGATAAACGCTACCTAATTTCATACTAATTCTTTATTTCTTGTTTTGCATGAACTTTCCAGTCCCTCTGAAATGTACTTTGGTGCATATTTTGTCTTTAGCTTTGTTCTCTTTTCTTTCCAAGATCCTGGAAATTTTAACTTCACACCCCGCCTGTTCATCCTCAGCAGTTCCTCTGGGGATTTCTCAGCCACAGAATTCATGTACCCTGCCCGGGACCCCTCTGTGGTCAATTCCATGCCCTTCCTGCAGGAGGACCTGTACAGCGCGCCACAGCCAGGTACGGCCCCAGAGGACGGCAGTCGCGCTGAGCAGCGGAAGATACACCTTCCAAAAAGCCTTTTTGTTTCCCCCTTGCATTTATTAGGCAGTTTTTATTTGTCAAGTACACTGACAATTTCTTTTTATATTAGCTCATTTAACCTCCCCACCTACCCCAAAGAAAAGTGGCATCGACCACACATTATAAGAAACTGAGGCTCAGTGACTTACATCCCTGAACGCATCTGTTAGGAATAAGCTGAGCGCAGCAGCGTCGGGCCTGGTGTGTCTGTTGCTGCCCTGGCCTTCCCTCGGTCTCCTTGCTTTGTGGTCCACAGTTGTCTGCCCTGGTCCTGTTCTATTTTCATTCAAGACAGGAGAAGTGGGTAGAGAAAAGGGCAGTGATGGCCACGTCTCTCACTTTCATCAAATAAAGCAAAAGCTTTCCCTGAAGCCCCCAGCAGACTTCTGCCTGCATCCCTTTGGCCAGAGCTCTGTCACGTGGCCACCCCAGCTGCAAGGAGCCTGGGAAAGCAAGTGGCCAAGGAGCAGGATGTTTGGAGTATCTGCTGACTTAGGCAAAGGACAGTATCCACCGTACGAAGGCTGCAGAGCAGAGCCATGGCCTCGCCCGGGTCTTCTAATCCCAAGGTCAGGTCTGTTTCCACTCGGCCAGCGCCTGAAGAGAGAACCTTTGTGCTCTCATTCTGGTTGGGACTGTCCTGGTCCCAGGAGACTGGGTTGTGTATATAGACCCTCCTGCCCGCCCTGTAGACCAGGTAAGGTGTGCCACCCTTCTCCCACAACAAGAGCCTGGAGCCACAACCAGAACCTCGCCTGCCACTGGCAGCCCAGGTCACCACCTTAAAAGTGTGATGGGTACACGGGTCATACTGTGGGGTATGTTAGCAAGTATCTTAACAGGGAAGCTGCTTCCCACCCTCTTCACCCTATGGCTCAGGATGGGTTATTAGCCTCCACTTGGCTTTTTAAGTGTATGGTTTTTACAGAATGCTGAAACGTATGCTACTCGGGGCAAGCTGAGCTAAAGCCAGAGCCCCTTTACCACGTGCAGTTAGAGTAGGCTGATGGCTGGATGAAGAGAAAAGATAAGGAACATGGATTTGGGAGCCCATTCCTCTCGAAAAGAGCCATGAACTTTACATCACCGGTGAAGCAGTCATACATGGGCTTGAATGTCAGAGAGGTATAGGGTGGGCAAACAGGAAGTACTCTCTCCAGTGTTCCATAGATCCTTTAGAGATAAGTGGGACCGTCACCCCGTGAGTGGCATGTGCATTACCCCTGCACTCTCGGCACCCCGTGGATGCCTGCGGCTGAGGAGGGGCCAGGGGAGGGAGAGCTGGAGGAGAGACGAGGAGAGGGAAGGAAAGAGGCCCATGTCATCAGCCACCTCTCTCTGCCTAGAGGTCTTTCCTGATTTAGTGTTCGAAGGACCCTCCCTTTGCCCCTGAATTTAGCTGCCAAGGGCACTGCCCCTGACAAAGGCAGCCGGAGGAAAGGCATCCGTTAGATCTGGGGAAACATGCCTGGAAGCACCCATGAAGAGGCTTGATTGTCTGGTCTGTCCTCACCCTCACAGCACTCTTCCTGGTTGACAATCACCATGAGGTGTACCTCTGGCAAGGCTGGTGGCCCATCGAGAACAAGATCACCGGTTCTGCCCGCATTCGCTGGGCCTCCGACCGAAAGAGCGCCATGGAGACCGTGCTCCAATACTGCCGGGGTGAGGCATCTGCAGGGAGCGGGCCGGGGCAAAGGGCAAGCCCCGAACCCCCGGGTACTGTGGGTACAGTGACAAGCAGCATCCGTTCAGAAGCTAGTGCCAGCGGCTCTCTGCAGACTTGGTCAGAGCCGCAGCCCAGGCCTCCCTTCTGCGTGCCGGCCAGCCTTGGTACAGCCAGCGGACAGTGGCGAAACCAACTTTCTTCTCTTCAACTTTTGAGGCTTATTAATTTTCAATTAGTATATTCTCCGCTGCCAGCATGAATGAGATTTCACTTTTCTTTTTTATATTATAAAGCCATTTAACTTGTTACCCTGGAGGTTAAAGGCTGTACAGCTGACCCTTGAACAAGGTTGAAGCTGCCTGAGTCCAGTTACACACAGATTTTTTTCAGTGTATATATACAGTCAGCCATCCGTATCCATGGTTTTCATATTCAGGGATTCAGCCAACTGCGGATCAACAATTATTTTCAGTCTGCAAGTGGGAGTCCGCAGATGTGGAGGGCCAACTGTATGCATTGTTCTACACCATTCTATATATGGGGCTTGAGCATCCACGGGTGTTGGTATCTGTGGGGGGTGGTCCTGGAACCAATACCCTGTGGATGCCAAGGGATGACTAAGTTTAGGGGGAGTCAAAAGTTATATGTGGATTTTTGACTGCATAGGGTGTTGGTGCCCCTAAACCCCCGTATTGTGGAGGGTCACCTAATGCAGAATAAATATTGCAGAATGCCCTGGACTAGTTAAAACCCTTCTGTACTCAGGACTAATCGTGCTGTGGGGCACGCTAGCCTCCACCCGCACACTGTCCACACACAGCCTCACACTCACACTGTCCACGCGCAGCCTCACACTGTCGGGGAGAAGAAGGCTCCCCCACAGGCAGGAAAGCCAATGGCAACCTTGTTACCAGTCATTATTATTATTTTTAATGTGATATCGAAAAAGAGAGATCTATAGTCAATTCATTGTTTTTTTCCCCTATACTGTCCACCTAAAATTTGTGGACTTCTACATAAACTCAAGATGCCAATAATTCATTTATCTGAATTGTTATGGTTGTGTTGATTAGCTTAGTGTCACTAAGTGTATAGTGGATTCTGTTCTTGAAAATCTCTTTAGTAATAAAATAACTTATTAAACTTCCCACCAAAAGTTTAAGCTACAGTGGCTTATAAAATGCTGCATTAGCTGTTCAGTTCTCTTTGAACTTAGCACGGCATTAGGAACATTCCTACAGGCAAGTGCAGAAGGAAGGACGTGTCCTCCCATGCAAGGCCCAAGACACATTTTGTTACATTCAGACAGTTTACAGTCAGGTGGATCACAGGCAGTTTTATGCAAAGTCATATACATAAAATGAACCTTGTATAAACATCATCCATACGTTGTTATGAACTATTCATAACTTCTATTTTATGCATGAAGTCAAGATCCAAGCAGAGAGGAAAGGTTTCAAGGGGAACCAGAGAAAGAGAGGGTCTCCGGGCCCACCCTGGGTCTGCTGACACTTGCATTCTTTGTGACCACAGGAAAAAATATCAAGAAGCCACCGCCCAAATCTTACCTGATCCACGCGGGTCTGGAGCCCCTGACGTTCACTAATATGTTCCCCAGCTGGGAGCACAGAGAGGACATTGCTGAGATCACGGAAATGGTGAGCACAGCGCCTTCCCTGTGAAGGGGGATCCCCGCCTTTTGGGTCGCAGATGGGCTTTACCTTAGGGCATTGCATTTTCAAAGTAAGAACATGTCTTCTCATTTACCACATGTTAACAAGTCTATGTGGAATTAGCTTAGGAAGAGGAAAAGTCCAAAGAGAAATCAATTGAAGTATTTTGGTAATTTTCTACATATAGTACTCAGGTCAAAAAACTAAAAAGCTAAGGTGAATTTAATTACTTTGAAAATACCCATAAATAAAAACTGGTGCCTCTTCAGTCTCAAGGTCCACACAAGGCACAACAAAGTCCTCATGCTTCAGACATTGGCTTCTGTTAAAGGAGACAGACAACTCTGTGATGAATTAACGTGCACAGATAACTAAGTAAATGAATGTATTAGGAGTCACTCCCAATAAGGTACTGCTCACTAACTCATTCATATTCTTTTATGAGACCACCTGGTATTACCACATGAGGCATTTATCACTATTGCCAAAAAAAAAAAATTATGAACCAGAACGTTATCATTTCCTACTGCACAGAAAAAAAGGAAGCTTCCTACAATATAGAATTTCTTAATTTATGAGTTTTTAACGTGGCTGGGAACAGCAGTTCCAAGAATGTTTTTGGTTTGGAGGGTAATAGTACTATAGGTCTGTTCGTTTTGATTTTCTTACTGAGTAGGAGAGCTGCTTTTCAGGGAGAGGGGGGAGAGGGCACGAGTGCATTTTATAGGAAGTCTGAATAAGTTTAAACAAGAAAAGCTCACGGCTGCTTCACAGCAGAGGGAGCCTGTTTCCTAGTGCAGGCACCACTGCCCGTCCCACCCACTCTGTGGCCGAGCGGGCTTCACCTGCACAGGGAGGGCCCAGGCAGCCTGCTACCCAGCACGGTCAGTGGGCGTGCCCTGTTCCCAATAAATGCGTGATCCATGGGACTGCATAGCTCCAGGGAATGGGAGCACCGTCGCTGCAGTCTAAGTTCAAGGCCATAAATCACGGCCATTCTCCTGTATTCATTCTCGCTCACTGGGGCTGGCGATGGGCCATGCAATGTCTCGTGCAGGCCCGCAGGCTTTCGGCCAGTGAGCAGTTGGCTTCCCATGTCAGCAAGTTGTAATAATAAGGAACATTCACTGAGGGCTCACTCTGTGCCAGGCACTGCTCCAAGCACTTTACATTAATTTTCACAACAGCCCATTAGGAACCAACATATTATTATCCCCATTTTACCGGTGAAGGAGCTGAGGCACAAAACAGGAAGCAGCTTGCCCCAGGTCTGAGGCTCAGGCTAGTTCTGAAACCCACCTCTCCACCCTTAGTCTATACTGGACCCCGCTGCGCTGCTGGCCATTCGCCCCGCCCCCCCCTCCCCCCCGCACCCGCCTGGAAGGCAGCCAATCTGGGATTCAGTTTACCAGGGGAAGGCAATTTACCTGAATAACCTGTTCAGATTAAAAGCACACAGTGATTTTTTTAAAAAATTATTGATTCAACTCTGGCATAGTCTACATGCATTTTTAAGTATTTTTAAATATTGTTAAACAAACATCATTATTTGGATGCTTCTGGTGTTTAAACATCAAATTTAATGATCTTATGTTCTAATTCCCGCCTAGGCTAGTCCCTAACCTCTTCTTCTGAGGCAGCCCTGGGACAGGGTGTGTTGAGCACTTGGGCAGGGTGAGAGGGCACCTAAAGCCAGGGCGGGAGCTGGGGGACTCTGAGGAATTCCCTTCCACTTTAGAGCCCTGTTTCCCCCCGAGGGAGTCCCCAGGCTGGGGTGCAGATCGGACAGGGTTGTGTACTTGCAGGCACGTGATAGAGCGTGTTCAGGTGTGGGACACATTTCTCTCTGTCCCCTCCTCTTCTCTAGGATACGGAAGTTTCGAATCAGATCACTCTTGTGGAAGACGTGTTAGCCAAGCTCTGTAAAACCATTTACCCACTGGCTGATCTCCTAGCCAGGCCACTGCCCGAGGGAGTTGATCCTCTAAAGCTTGAGATTTATCTCACCGATGAAGACTTCGAGGTAAGTGTTTCTTCAGGTGGTATAGCCATTAAACTGCATGCTGGGCTGATACGAGAGTCCTCTTACTCAGCCACCTGGCATTTCTCCTGATTCTTGCAGTTTGCACTAGACATGACAAGAGAGGAATACAATGCACTGCCCGCCTGGAAGCAAGTGAACCTGAAGAAAGCAAAAGGTCTTTTCTGAACGGAGAGATGCTGGTGGAACCTCTGTTGTCACTTTCAATACCATTGGACCAGGAAAGTGGATATTTTTTGGACTGGTGTTTTTAAAAATATTTTTTAATCAGAGTTTCCAAAACCTGAATTTATTAGCTCTCCTGCTTGTCCTGGAGTTGTGTATTTTGTAAATGTTTAAGAGAACTCTTCGGGAACTCTTTCCACGATTCAGCAGGTAATGTTAATAAAAACCCCGTAGGCGCACCTCAGCGGCCGCCCCCCCGCGGCCGCCGCAGCACTGCCCTCCTGTTCCAGCTACGCGTTGCCTATTTTTTTTTAAGCAGTTCTCTTTATAAAGTGTTATTTTGATAGTTGGTGGATTCTAAAATATATATATTTATATAAACACCATATAAATCAAATATGTATTTAACAAAGCAGTATGTATTCATTCACTTTTCAGATTTTGGGGGGGTGTCAAAATATTATTAAAAGGTAGATGGCGTTGCTTCTGTGGAATTAGCTCTGCCACCGATACGTATATTCACCATGTTCAGAAATGTCTTCTTCAGCATTAGGTCTTACTTGTTCTGAGTGCTGCTTCCGGTGCTAAAAGGAACAGAAAATGTGCACTTCCTGGCATGGAATCTGTACGAATTCACCTTTCTACCTTAATGTCTCCCCAAAATGTATAGTGCCTTGTTTTTATGTACAGTTTATATACATAAAAGTTTGCCCTGCATTTTTTTGATGATGGTTTGGAACATTATCTACAATTTTACTCTAAAATAGTAGAAATAAAAAAACATCTCAATTTCTAATACCTGTTGTAAACATTAAACATGTCATCTTGTGATCTAGGACTCCAAAATAAAAGCTTCGGAATAAACACAGCAATTAATTGATTCGTTCACATTGAATTCCAAGCGTGTGCCTTTCTGAAAAAATTTTTTTTTGCAAATGTTAATCTAGTGCCAGTATTTCATCATTAAATAGTATCTGCCTCTTTTAATTTAGTTTAAGGCAAGATTTTGTACAAGTCATAAGACTGCATAGACAGATTTGACCCATAAAATTAGTTCTAAATTCTATGTTAAAGACATATTTTTGCAAGTCATCGTTTAACAGAATATCTTTACCTTAAAACTGTATCTACATCTACCATCCAAACTAATCTACATCTCAAAATCAGGATCTTGGTGCCTTTTTATTAATATTGAATATATAAGGTATTTAGAAAAGTTAAAATGAGTCAGAAAACTCTTCACAGGCTCGTGTGTTGTTTCCATCCCAAGTCCATTGTTTGAACCAATTTTATAGACCTACTTTAAGTTGCTACTGTCCCCCCACTTTGTTTTAATTTTAAAATATTGAATAACATTTGCCTAAAACATTGTCACATACTTGTGTACCTGCACCGTGGGACTGCAACCCCCGCCTGGTCCCACCACTTTATGACTATGTGACATTGGGCAGTCACTGAAGTTTTCTACCTACGTTTTCTTTCTTTTTTTTTTTTAAGAGTCAATTGCACCTCTCCTGCCCACACCACAGGACTGATTCTTGGTGAGGATGAAGTGGAATCTCCTTCAATATTGTCAGGTCCTAGGTACCAGCTGATGTTGATATTTTTGTTGTTGTCGCTGGCATAGGGAAGATGAGAGCTGCAGTTAATGAAGTCGCACACCTAGAAATTATAGAATAAACCAAAATAAGTGGAACCTTCCAAAGAAATAAATGTAGAAGGAAAGGGAGAGAGAGAAGCTCAGAATATACTTCCCATGGGTAGTGAGCAATGAGAAACGGAGAAGGACCCCCAGAGCCAGTAGGGCCACCGGTGGGCTGTTCGAAAGAGAGGCAGGGCTGCCTGTGTCAGTTCTAAGAGGTCACCTGGATCCCTTTATGCACAGAAAGTGACTGGGTTGCTGTAAGAGCTTCCAGTGAAGAGCCTGCCATAGATGATAGGTAAGTGTCATCTGCAATATTAAACTTTGTCATAGGAAGTACGTGTAAAAAAACAACATGTAGATTTCAGTACAATCTGCAGTTTCAGGTGTCCACTGCGAGTCTTAGGATGTGTTCCCCTTGGATGAGGGGCACTTTTGTACATGGAATTTCCTGGAAAGACTAATTCATTCAGACAGAAAGCACCTCATTGGTGGCTGGAGATGGAAATGGGAGTGAAGGCTGACTGCAAATAACAAGAGGGAACTTTTGAGGGAGATGGAAATTTTTCTAAAACTGGATTGTGGCGATGGTTGCACAACTCAGTAACAGTCCTGAAACTTACTGAGCTGTGCACTTACATAGGCATATTTTATGGCATGTATGTGATGCCTCAAGAAAGCCATTTTAAAAAATAGTAACAGATATATTTGAAAAATGTCAACATTAGCATGAAAAGGATATATAAATTAGGAATTGAAAATCATAGATAATGCCACCGTTAAAGAAATAACTATCCAGGACACTTGTTAAGACAGGAAGGCTGACTTTATTCAGAGCCACCACTATAGGTGTGGGAGCCCCTGCACTGAGGCTGGCCCTAGGGGAGCGAGATTGGGCTCAACGCGGGACAGACAAGGAAAAGTGAGAATCTATAGCCAGGGAACAGAGGAGGTGGTGATCGGTGGCTGGAAAATTAGTAAGAGGAAGCACGAAGACCAGGGTAAGGAGGGATGCTGGCTGAAGGTAGATCATGGGGCTCAGACATCACCTGGCCGATGGCGGAGGAGGCGGACCCTGGCCGACAACAAGGGTCAGGAAGCTGGCCTCACACAGTTCTTTTGGGGGACATGCCCAAGGACAGGGCCTAGTCGGGCTCAGAGGAGTCTCTGTCACCACTTCCCAAATACAAGTACTTCAGTAATTTGATGTATGTTCTTCCAGACTTCTCTTTATACCTACTAACATAGAAATGTATGCTCATATATTTTTGAAGAGAAAAACCGCATTTGTTCTTTAGTATCTTGATTTTCCTGTTAACCAAAGAGCTCACTGGTAGGTCATTGGGTGTTTATCTGGGTGTGTGTGAGATTCTAAGTCACAGGGGGTGCAGTGTGGAGGCCAAATCACCGACCTCCCCCCACCCCGGGGCCAGTCCACTTTCCTCACGGGGTGCGCAGCATCACGCCTGGGCCCAGAAACAGGGCGGGGGGTACATTTTTACAGGCCATTCTTGATGCCAGAGCCAGAGTTAAGCGCCAGAATTCTCAGAGCAGGCCTCTGTACAAAGCCTTCCTGGACAGCAGAGTAGCAAGTGAGGGTCAAGGGCACAATAACAAGTCCAAGATCAAAGTAATGATTCAAATGCAAATAATGGAAATTCGACTCTATTGGTGTGGCATTTGACCCAAAGGAAACTTCCTGCTTTACTTTTAAACAATAAATGCACAAATGATGTCACGGCTGCTTTAGAGGACCTGCAGTGGATGTACTCCAAGAGTTAGGACAGAAAGATGGGATCGTAAGGGGAAGACACCAGAGGTTTAGAGTGCCTATAATCAGGAACATGGATGTGCTGCAAGTATTAAGCTTGTATGGAAATACACCAGGGGTTTCACCATTAGAATGAACAGGTCATAACGTTGATGCTGGAGGGTGAATAAGGAAGAAAGATTAACAGACCAGCACCCCTCATTCCTAATGATGAGATGGTCCCCTAGTGAGCTTTTGTATTTTGCTGCTGATGTTGAAAAGAAAGCTCCAGGAGCAGAACTGAATGCAAGCTGAGGTCCTAGCAGGAGGCGTCCCAAATCCCTCCGTCCAGCATCCCTCAGAGTGATGGGAAACGCCCTTGACACCTTAATGCCGTGGAGCTCGGGAAGTCTCTTCAGGGAGATATTGGAACTGACATGTATGATCAGGAGATCGACATAAATTGCCTGTGATTGAATCTCATTGAATTATTAAGTCCAGCTTTACTACCTGAACACCATTTAAGCATCTATCCTGAAATGATTATAACAGGACATGTTAGCTCCATCAAGAAATGTTGAACAACAACTGAACAAGGAGGTGTAAGCCTATCTAGAAGCAAAGAAAGGTAAAATGGGACAGGGGGAAGAGGCGGGTCACTGGTACTTTTTGATTGCTGGTTTCTACAAACGGAGAAAGCAAGCAACTAAACAGCGCATTTGGGAAGTCAAAGCTGTCCTAGGGGGCGATGATAAAGCAGGCACCCTACCTCTCCTCCCAGCTTCCCTTGCTCCTCCAGCTCCTTCCCCTCCAAACACCAGCGCTTCCCATGTTTGAAGTCAGGAATCACAGAGAGCTGGCATGGAGCATCCTTTGTCAGTGATGACATTTCAGGTCCTGGTGGGAAAGATTTCTGGTGGTTGGCAGGCTCCTTCCCCAAATCAGGCCCGCCTGCAGAGGCAGCCACATCACCTGCCGACGTGCATTTCGGGGATCACGCACTGTACACGCAGACCTGTGGTGATGGTAGTGGTCCGTAAGCACCCGTGTGTACTACTCATTGACTCCAGTGTTGGTGAGTGTGCACAAGCCACAGGCCTCACCAGAAAATACGCACATGTCATGCCAAGGCTCTGACCCCACGAGGAGCAGGCATTCCAGGGAAGAAAACAAGGGGCATTCACCAAAAGCATAAGTCAAGATGCCATGGGAGTCTGTTATGGATTGAATTGTACACCCCTCACCCCCTCAAAGAAAAAAGTATACTAGAAATATCCTACTAATATAGCATCTGACTTTAGTTGGAGATAGTCTACAGGTGATCAAGTCAAATGAGGTCATTAGGGTGGCCCTCACCCACTATGACCGGAGTCCTCATGGGAAGGGGGAATTTGGACACAGACAGGCATTTACTATAGAGGAAACACAAGATGGGGAGCAGACAGACAACTACGAGGGGGGACGCCAAAAAACAGAATTTATTTATTAAAACATTGTGTATTTATTCCTACATGTTTAAACTTCAGTCACCTTCAAAGTACTCTCCATTTAATGCAATGCACCTATCAAGACATTTTTTTCCCCTGCTCAGAACAGTTTTTGAACTCATCAGTTTTGATGTCTTTTAATGCTTCTGCTCTTACTTTGTTTCACCTCTTCCACATGGGCAAAACATTTCCCTTTGAGGACTTTTATCATCTGGGAAACAAACAAAAAGAAAAGTCTCTTGGGGCAAGATCAGGTGAAAAGGCAGGGTAGGGCACAGGGCCATATTGTTTTTGGTCAAAACTGCTTAACACTCAGCGCTGTGTGGGCAGGTGCGCTCGTAAATCACCCAGCATGAAATGGGCAAATCTGTTGTAAGAGTCTTCAAAAATAAATTCACTGAAGCCAAACACAGCCTCTAAGAAAAATGTCAGCTGATACACTGATATAGATGGGTTCCTAGAACATTCACGTAGTAGGGGAAGCCTGTATTACAAGGGGCCTGCCCTCCAGAAGATAACTCTGGGGGTTTTCTGGGTACCCCCTCTTACAAGCCGAAAGGAGAGACGTAGAAGAAACCAAGCCTACCAACACTTTGATCTCAAATTTCTAGACTCCAGAACTGTGAAACAGTAAATTTCAGTTGTTTAATCCACTCAGTAACAAAATACAGCAGATCTAGGAAACACACAAAAAGCAACGGAAGCTCTTCACGTTGGAGGGAGGAGGAAAGGAAGCAATCAAGGCAGCTTCCTGGAGGAAGTGGGTAGGCCTGTACTGTTCGGATTTCTCACTGCGGCTGGCATCAGCACCACCGGACAATAGCTCCAAAGGGAGTATCTTTAAAGGGGAGATGGAGAGGGAGGGTGGGCCCATCTCCCAGCTGTGGCACAGGCAGGATAAGGGAATAGCAATTATAGCCATGAGGTTAAAGGGAAGGTGAAATATGGTTAGAGGAAGTTAGAAATGGACAGGCTGATCGGTCCA